TCACAGCGCTGACTGTTTACGGCTGTTTTCACAAGGCTTTCTTAACTATGCAAGCGAGGGCCAAAATCTGTCTGCGTTTATGTGTGTGTGTTTCATAAAGTGTGCATATGTGAAATGAATGGATGAGGCAGGGATGGGATGAGATATTGAGCAGTGCATCACGCTCACGGTGTGTGTGGGAAAGCGTGAGTGTTTATGTCGCGGGGCCCCTGACGTCCCGCACATGAATACGTTTTACTGTATACACTCACAGGTCTGTGTAAGTGTGTCTGTACTTTGTAGGATTAAAGTAGTCTCTTAATTATGTGTGTTAGACGTGCGAGGACTCTTTCAGATGCACACAGACCAGCCTCCATTCTTTATCCAGACTAAAGCAGTGCTGTGTTCGGCTCTGTAATATAAGCAGTGCATTAGTGAGTTTAGACTAGTGATAGTGTTTGTAACAGAGAGTGAAAGACAAGAATAGTTTGCTGAGAGAGAGAGCCTGCTCAAGTTGACTTTAAAGTACTAAATATAACAATGTACTGTCAGGTGGTCATTATCACAAAAATAAACCCAGACAGGGTGAACTGGACCCCATCGTGACTTATGCTATATGAATGGACATTATAGACATGAAATATAGTTTTGAATTTTTAAACTTAGTTTTTCAATTTTGTATAAAATGTGTTTTATTTTTAATATTTTATTATTCCATCATTATTATATTATATTATATTAATTTATTTTGATTTTTACATTGATAATTTTACATAAGTAATATAACAGGAATATAATTTTAAAACATAAAATTTATAAACATATCAGTGAATATATATATTTGCATATAAAACATTTTATATAATTAATATATTTAATATATATTATTTGTTTTTATTAATGTACTATGAAACACTTATATCATCATAATGTTGAAACAATATAAAATATGTTTATAAAAGATTTCTTAGTAGACATTAATTAGATTTTTTTTATTATAGTTTTTGCATGCTCACTAGTATGCTTAAGATTTAGCATAGCCTGTCTTAATGTGTTTAAATGAGTTTCCGCTAAACATATGTGAACCAAACTTTGCATATTGTTTCTCAGCTATGTTATGAAAGATATACATTGATTTGTTTATTTTGTATTTACTGCTATTTATTATTTATAGTTATTAGTTAATGTACACATTGGCAAAAATGAGTGTTACATTGAGTCTGATTGTTACTGCATGATCATTAATCTTATATATAAGAATATTTGACCACTGAAAGCCACAATCGACTAATCAGAAAAAGTGTTCCAGAGAGCCGTGAAATAAGCATCTTTATTTTATGCCTTGATGTCAAAATTATATACAGCATTCCTCAGCACCCCCTCTCTGTCTTTAACAGCTCACAGATGTGGAATTATTTTGACTGAAGGGTATTTGGTCAGCTTCTATAAACACCTTTGTGACCGTCGAAAACTGTGTGTGTGTGTGTGTGTGTGTGTTTGGTCATATGCACAAGCTCTTGTGGGAGAGGAAAACACACACATCAACTTTACAGCTCTGTATCGTAACTCTGTTACTTACTTTTCACCCAGAGTGGCTTAGCATGCACTAATTACAGCAGCAGTAACCCGAGGTTAAGTGTCTCGCTCATGGACACAAAAGCACAATTGTGCTCTCAACAAGGTTATTACGGTTTATAAAAAATTTTTAATTTTAACTTTTTTACATTTCTTTTTTATATTGAAGTTTTCATGCAAGAATAGATTTGTTGTGTTAATTTTTCAGATTGTTTTAATTTATGTTTATTTTTAGGTTTTCCAACATATTTTAACTTTATATGAAATATTTCAAGTGCCCCTATTAGGCCATTTTTACAGTTCCTAATATTGTTTTGGGAGTCTCCTACAATAGAATTACATGCATGCAAGGTCAAAAAACGCTTTCGTTTTCTCAAAATATGCATTAAATATCACCTCATTTTCCAGCGATTCTCAACCCCTCCGAATTGCCGCTATTTGAAAGTGAAAGTAAAATGCGCATGCCGCTTTTACAAGTCTCTCTAAACCCCTCCTTTCCGTGAGCATGCTCTGCTCTGACTGGTCAGATGGCCTAGTCTGTTGTGACTGGTCTACGGCGTACAGCGCGTGTCGGAAACGATATGCCTATTTCAATAGTTCTGTATTTTGAACGCTCTATAGAAAATATAAACATCTATTATTTATCATACAGGTTGTGAGTCAGTGGAGCACCTGGTCCAAATAAACAGGATACTGATCCATCTTTCAACAGCAAGCGTTTTGTGAATCCCGCGTTGAACTCCCCGAGATTAGAGAATCACTCGTCAGTAGAATGACGTGTTTGTGGGTGGGGTCAAGTTGTTCGTGGCTGGCCAACGTAGAACATAGGCACGCATTATGCAAATGTTTTACCCCGTGACGTGTAGCCATCACAGAAGTGGGATTCAAATTACTAACGACTAGGCTTGCCGTGATAGACGGTGCTGACGGTTAAGCTGCAACACCGCGTCACAGACCCCCACCGTTGTTTTGATTTTTTATAGTAATAAAAATAATTTAGTTCAGTAAAAGAACAGACACTACAATTAAAAACTGAACACGGCTGCTCAATGCAGCGTGCCGAATGACAGTTGCATCACAGATCAGATTTCATTTCTCCAGTGAGGAGAGTGAGTCGAGCTGACTGACAAGAAGAGTGAGGTGAGAAACACAAGACGATCGCGGATGATTTAGTTTCGAAATGAAATGCAAATATCGCCTGTTTGGCAATATTTTGGATTTTGAAAAGCCTGTTGACTTTTAACGTTTATCTGATATTGGAAGTTTATTATTTTATTTATTTATTTTATTTTAAGGTGTATGCCGTGCCTCCAAGCTTTCTTACTCATTTTGCTAATAAACGTTCTATGTTTCTTATTTATTTGGTTATATATTATACATGTTTACTTATTTCCAGTTTTGTATACCTATTTAAACTTTATGTAAGTTATTTGTTGTTTTATATTAGGCATAGCCTGCCCTATAACATGGTGTATTTTTATTTGTTTTGTTAATAAAAGTTCTGTTATATATATATATACGCTAAAGTGAGTTTGACATTGTATTTTGTTGTTGCATTCAAGCAATTGACGCCGAACTGCCGCTAATTCGAAAGTGAAAGTAAAATGCGCACGGCGCTTTTAAGCTATTTAAAAGCGAAGGAAAGCGAGGAAAAGAGGGAAAATTCAAATGAACTAAAAACGAACAATTGTTTTACTCCGAATTGCCGCTATTTGAAAGTGAAAGTAAAATGCGCATGCCACTTTTACAAGCTATTTAAAAGCAAAGGAAAGCGATACCATGATATTGGTATTACCGGTGTTGTCACACGTCGATTAACCGGTGGGAAAATTTCCTCACCGTCACAACCCTACTAACGACTGGTTTCAGCTGTTCAGAGTCGATTCTTTATTTTGGGAGACAATAGCCAGATTTCTGTGCAAAGTTGTGAATTTAACTTATGCGCAAAACTGGAATATCGCATAAAACATTTGCGAACAAGCATCGTTTCCATCCAACAAGTCAAAGAGAACAAAATCGTTACTTCCTGATAAACTGGCACTATAAATCACTAAGAAAAGTAGGAGAATATAATATTTTTCATATATAATAAATTACTTGCGCCTCAGAGCGAGCAGACAAAACACAATGAATGCGATCATTGCTTTCGGAGGTGGATGCTGCTGTTTGGGATCGCAGTCGTGTTCATTTCTGACATTTCTGGGAGGCAATTATACAGAAATACTTTGATGACAGACTTTGTTCGTGCATTTCCGAATGACCATAACAACATTTCAGATGCAGTGGAATGAGATCGGTCCACTGGTTAGTCAGGTTTTGCCGTCTCAAAGTCACATGACTTTTCTGATGCGCTTGGAGGAATTTATTCGCAAAATGCATTTCCATCTCCCATTATTCGCATCAACCCTTTTTCGCACAAGTCAAAAACCACCTCAAGTGAGCATAAAAACTTTTTTGCGAATTAAGGGATTTTTATTTGAAATTTGGCGTTTCCATCACTCGTTTCTCATGCGATCAAAATGCGCATTAAAATGGGGTGATGGAAACATAGCTAATAACTTTATTTATCGTGCACTTTCAGCTTTACAACTTTGCAGATCGTTTACATTCACGTACAGCTACATTACACACTGCATGAATGGCAATATTGGAAATGGCATAATAGGGGCACTTTAATATTCATTCAGGCTGCCAACATAAACAACACTAATAATTCATGGATATTATTATTAACCTTGCCTAATTACTTCTACAGTTCCTTTTTAGTATTCGGAAACCTTGAGAACCATAAGAAGTTTTCTCAAATTAGGGCTGTGTGATTGTTTTTTAATTGTTTTGATGAATATTTTTATTGAATACTGACTGTGGTGTAATAATCATTTGTATTTTTGTAGTTCGCGATAGAATCTTGATTGTTCAATGAAACATTTTTCGTTTAAAGAATGTTTTACACAAACAAATCAATATTACTTTTAGTGAGTCTATCCCTGATGTCCATCTGTCCTTGACTCGCCTGCTCACAATTTCAGCATCTGTTCAGATCCCTTCTTCAAACAAACTTCTTCTCCAATAACCTCTTCATATCGCTCCAAAACTAGTGACAGACCATCCAAACTTAATTTCCATCTTTTTGTTTAATTTATAAAATGTCTCGGGGCATTTTTTCTCTGCAAATATTTGAAGATGAAAGAGTGAGAATGATGTGATATTTGCAGCCATATTTCCCCAGGTGCCATAAATTTCATACTTCAAAGCTGTGTGTTATGATCCTGAGAGTCTGGATATCTGAAGTAATTATTCAGTTCGGTCTCTCGCTGTTATTTTTGCTCTGTAAACAAGAAGGAATGAAATAAAGCACATTTTTGAGTCGGATAAATGTTAGGTGAGTTTCTGACAGATACTACAGGATGATAACTGACCCATTTCCTGTTTCTCCTCCTCTCTAGCTAACGTTCTGGACACTATGCTGCTGAGGAATTCTGGGAAGGTTGAAGAACGCCGGGAGACAGGAAGTGATGCACCGGCTCTACCTCAGCGCTTCCTGTGGTGCTACTGTTACCATCACTGTCCGGAGGACTCCACTAATAACACGTGCAGGTATCAGGAGGACACATCCTGCCTCACTTGCGTACTCTTGCACACATTCTGTAGCCAGTATTACATGTGTGTTGTGTGTTCAGGACGGACGGTTACTGCTTCACCATGGTGGAGGAAGAGGTTGGAGCGGCTGTGGTGACGTCAGGTTGTCTGGGTCTGGTCGGATCAGAGTTTCAGTGCCGAGTGAGTCATAAACTGCTCTAATTTCCAAAATAAACCACTTAAGTGTTAGTGCATCAGTCCTCAAGCACAGACGAAACAAAAGCCTTACGTAACTCACTGTGAATTAAACACCTCGTTAAATACTCATGTGCTGCTCCTTTATATTTCACAATTCTTACTTGTATGCCCATATGCAATTTTGTGTCTTAACTCAAAATTGCTGGAAATAAAGTCAGAATTGTGACATTACGTCACAATTACACTACTGTTCAGAAGTTTGGGGTCAGTAAGATTTTTTTTAAAGAAATTAATGCTTTTATTTAGCAAGGATGCATTAAATTGATCAAAAGTAACAGTGAAGCCATTTACAGTATGTTACAGAAGAATTCTTTATAAAAACTTTATATTCATCAAAGAGTCCAGAAATGTTTTCCCCCACAAAAATATAAAGCAGCACAACTGTTTTCAAAATTGATAAGATTGATAAATGTTTCTTGAGCTGCAAATTAGTATATTAGAATGATTTCTGAAGGATCATGTGACACTGAAGACTGGAGTAATGATGCTGAAAATTCAGCTTTGATCACAGGAATAAATTATATTTTAAATTATATCCTAATAGAAAACAGTTACTTTAAATTGTAATAATATTTCAGATTATTTCTGTTTTTCCTACATTTTTGATCAAATAAATTCAGCCTTGATGAGTGTAAGAGACTTTTTTAATTCTGCAGTGAAAACGAGCTTCCATAGTAATGTCATTCCATGATTTTCTTTCTGTGCAAAATGAAGATAGTTTATCAGTTTAGCAGCTGCTTTTTTCCATGTTATGAAAATGAATGGCGATTTATATTGCCAAGCCTCAAAAATGACCATAAAAGTAGTCTATAGTTAATATTTTAAGTGAACCAATACTTTACACATAAAACATAAAACCAAAAGCAATCCTTTTTTTATGTTCTTAATACCTGTTCCTGGTCTTATTGCGAAAAAATAAAAATCTGATTTGTTTATTAAAATGTTATATATTTATTTTACCAAAGCCAAGTAGACAGGGAAAAACTATATTAGCAAATAATATCATAGCTAATTTTTACCCACTCATTTTAAGTCCTGCTCCTACTGTATTTTATCTGTATATTATTAGTGAACATTGTACAATCAATGAACGTTTCACTTGAATTATCTCACATTACAAAAGTTAAGTTGCACGTAGTGTTTCATTGTGTTACTGGCCACCTGAGAGACCTGATGTGTTAATGTAATGTGTGTTTGTCTGTGTTTAGGACACGGGGAACTCTAAACAGCGGCGAGCGCTCGAGTGCTGCACAGATCAGGACTACTGTAACAGAGACCTACATCCAACACTGCCTCCTCTACGAACACCCAGTGAGTAACACACACACACAAACACACACACACACTTACTGTATATGCCAATCTAATCACAGATTCACTGAAATTGACTAAAATGTAAAGCTGTTTAGTAGTGTTTGTTTAGGTAAGCATCATTATTACTGTTGTTAATAATTAGGGTTGTAAGAACCATTTAGCAGAAACACAGCGACATGCTAAAAACCTCTCAGCAGCACCACATAGCAACATATTTAAACCACTCAAAACACCTTAGCAACTAAATTACCTAGTACACGCAACTGCATAGCAATGTGCTAAAATCAATCCACTTAAGGAACCTTAGAAACTGCATAACAAAGCCTTGACAACAGGGTTATTATTGTTAACTAAAATTATGAAAAATATTTTTGTTAGTTGAAATAAAGCTGATGAAAAATTTAAACTAAATGAAATAATTAAGAATGAACTTAAGTTTAAGTTGAAGTACAAAAATGACTAAATGGAAATTAATAAAAACTATGACTACTTAAATTAAAGTAAATTACGCCTAAATGATAAACAAACAAACAAATACATAATAATGAGTAACACAAAAAAAATTACTAAAATTCAAATAAAATATAAAAATGAAATCTAATTCAAAATAGTATATTAATATATAATAATATAATAATGATTACTATAGACTAACTCAAACACTTACTGAAGCAAATAAAAAAAATATGATTTAACCTCTTTAGTATTTTCCTTTGGGCAACATTCCTAGAAAAAAATGTCTGATTTGTTCCCAAAAATATATGTAGGTCAGAAACTCTCACACACCTGTAGGATTTATTTTGGCTGTCATGAACAACTCCCATCAATCAACACAGCAGAATAGAAGCCTCTAAGTCCGTCACACACACACACACACACACACACACACACCTGTGTGTTCACACCCTCACACCTGTGCTGCAGCTCTGATTTCAGCATCACACACACACACACACACACACACGCAGAGCTCCTGAAGGAAGTGTTCATAGAGCCGAGTGTGATGATGTAAGAGTTGCGTGTTCACCGTTGACTCTTTGACATGTAATAATATGTCTGTGTGTGTGTGTGCAGGTTACGTAGTGGGAGACATTCATCACATCGCTCTGCTCATCTCAGTGACGGTCTGTAGCTTCATCCTCACCTTCATCATCATCTTCTGTTACTTCAGGTGTGTAAATTACCAACACAAACACAGACTTAGTTTTTTCTTAAATGAAGCTAATTTAGTGGATAGTTCACCCAAAAATCGTTTACTCACCTCAAGTTGTTACAAACCTTTATGTGTTTCTTTCTTCCGTTAAGCACAAAAGAAGATATTTTGAAGAATATTGGCAACCAAACAGTTTGCTGGTAGCCATTGACTTCCATAGTATGGAAAAAGTATTATGGAAGTCTGTTTGGAAGTTTGTTCAACTGTTTGGTTGCCATCATTTTTTGTGTGTGTGTGTGTGTGTTTGGATACAGGTTTGGAGGGTGATTAAAAGATTTTTGGGTGAACTATCCCTTTAAGGCAGGACACTACAGGCAAAAATATTGTTTTTTTCATGCACTGGTCAGTTTTGAGATTTTGAGCTATTTGGTCTTTCATAACATGTTTTTTAGACTAATGGAAAGAAAATGGCAAGAAAATGTGTACAATACACTTTAAAAAAGTATGGTTAAAAGTATGGTGACATAATTGACATTCTTTTTTTAAACTTTTCACTTGGGATGTCTTGCCTTAAAAAGACTATAAACTTTTGGTCAGCAAAAACTACGGTGTCAGGTTATATGAGACCAGACTAACACCAATTCTAAACTTTTAATCTGTCATGTTATTTTAATATTATATGTCTCTTAGTTTTTATCATATAAACCCCCAGGTTGTGTTTGTGTGGACTTCTGGTCATGTTAGTCTGGAGTTGAAGTGGTCTGTGTGGTGTTTCAGGTATAAACGTCACGAGTTAGCCCCGCGCTACAGCCTTGGCCTGCATCCGGACGAGACGTTCATTCCTCCGGGAGAATCCCTGCGGGATCTCATAGAGCAGTCCCAGAGCTCCGGCTCAGGGTCAGGACTCCCCCTGCTGGTGAGAATCACACACATATGAAATCAACATCCACACAGAGCCCTGTGAATTCTGTGATGCAGAAAACACAGAATCCAGTCATAAAAACATAAGATGGAATGTTATGATGAATAGATCAGAAGTAGGTCTATACAATTAATCAAATCCCAACATGAACTAGTGTCTGTGATTATTAAACTGCAAAAAGACTATTTAATGTTAAGTCAGTGTGTATCCGAGTGAATGAGTGGCTCAACTGAAAATGTCAGATACACACAGCAAAGTCTTCATTACAACCTGCCAAAATAAAAGATTGGTCTAATTTGACTAAATTATGAAAGAAATATATTACAGTTACACAGTAGAATGTACTTCAAAGTAGTAGTTATAATTAATAATGATAATAATAATAAAATGTATTTTTTTTAAAGGAATATCACAAACTATCACAATTTTACCTGTTTTTGATTTTTACTAAATGATAAAAGACTTTTTATCCCAAAAAAAAAAAAATTGGGGAAGAAAAAATTAAATGTAATTTGGAAAAAAATTAAAAACAGATTTCGTAGGACCCTATTTATCTTATTTTCTTAATAAATGTCACTGCTTTTATTGTGTATGATCAGTCACTTCATGTAATTGTAAAGATAATAACTATCTATCTGTCTGTCCGTCTATTTGACTGTATATGTGTCTGTCTGTCTGTCTATCTATCTATCTATCTGTCTGTCTGTCTGTCTATCTGACTGTATATGTGTCTGTCTGTCTGTCTGTATATGTGTCTGTCTGTCTGTCTGTCTGTCTGTCTATCTGACTGTATATGTGTCTGTCTGTCTGTCTGTCTGTATATGTGTCTGTCTGTCTGTCTGCCTGTATATGTGTCTGTCTGTGTCTGTAGGTACAGCGCACTATAGCGAAGCAGATCCAGATGGTGACACAGATCGGGAAGGGCCGTTATGGAGAGGTGTGGATGGGGAGATGGAGGGGAGAGAAAGTGGCTGTGAAAGTCTTTTTCACTACAGAGGAGGCCAGCTGGTTCAGAGAGACAGAGATATATCAGACTGTCCTCATGAGACATGAGAATATACTCGGTGAGACTTTCTCTCTCAGACACACAAACACCATTACATTCATATGCTACTGTTATACAATTAATGTAGGGAATATATAGACTATTAAAATAAAAGATACTGCTTGCCAAGCTTAAGTAACTCGTGATTTAAAGTTATTCAGCGACCCTCTTGAAAAAGTAGTTAGGTTCACTAATAAAAATATTTCATTTCACTGAAGATATTAAGGGGGCAGTATGTGTATAATTAGGGTGAATAAAGGAACTTATTCTTTTTTATTGCTGTTCTTTTAAAATACGAGTCCAAATGAGTCAGTGCTTAACACAATGGCTGTTTAAATAGCTGAAGATCTCCACTGAACTAAAGGTCTTTCAATAAAATAAAGTGTCAGGGTTACTGCTTAGGTCCAGGATGGGCCAAAAACAAAACAACAACAACAAAGAAAACATTAAGACTATATTTATGCACTAATTGTGTAATCTTTTTGTTCTTCTAGAACAGGGATTCCCAAACATTTTGTCAATTTAAAATATTCATTGAGATTTTAAGATAATATTTCAATAATTGCACACATTTGCATGTTCATGGTTCGGCTAATGGTCACATGACATGCAGGTAAACAAATAAAATAGTTAATATTTTTAGTGTTTTATTTTATAGGTTTTATGTAAAAAATATTTATCTATTATTTAATTAAATGATTAGCTTTTCATTAAGTTATAGAACCCCTGCTGTTTAATTAAACTGAAATTTTTTTTTTTTTTTATGGAAATGAAATAAATTCACAGTTTTTAATTTTTCTTATTATTAATTATTATACCGTTTTATATGGTCATATTACCTCAGACTATGTTACACTGCAAGGCTATTTATAAGAACTACAAAAAAAAAAAATGTATTAAAAATGGTGTAAAATGTTCCCTTTGTAAATGTTAAACTAAAACCTCATGTCCATGTTATTTGTCAACTACTCAGTTAACTAAATATTTTAGACATGGGGATTTCTGGGAACACGTTTGAGTGATCACTCAAATTAAAGTGACTCTAGTTCATTAAAACGAACCATCCAAACCAACCAAGTTCGCTATCATTAATCGCTGCTTGAGGACATTCAGTGAGAGTGTGTTTGATCACTCGGCTGTAAAGCTCCACGCACAATACAAAGTGATGCAACAAGCAGCAGTACTGCTTCTTTTCATGCTATTCCACTGTTTGTTAGAAAAAATAGCATTGCTATTTTCAAAACGGTAGAGCTGCTGTCACGCAACTGAAAAATGTAGTTACATTAGCAGCCTATCTACTGTTATTTAATTACTCCCACTGGTGAACATGTAGTCGGTAATTGCAGGAAAATGGACCATGTTAAAATGCACGATTGAAGCGACTTGATTAGCAGTCCTTTCAAATTAATTAGCTGATATCAGATTAATTATTACATTAAATTAAGCACGGCCTGGCTCGGTATATTTAGCCTCGTGCACTAATTTTAACTCTCTCTCCAGGGTTCATAGCGGCCGACATTAAAGGCACAGGCTCGTGGACTCAACTCTACCTCATCACCGACTACCACGAGAACGGCTCTCTGTACGACTATCTGAAATGCACCACCTTGGACAGCCGGGCCATGCTGAGACTGGCATACTCGTCCGTCTCCGGCCTCTGCCACCTTCACACAGAAATCTTTGGCACGCAGGGCAAACCGGCCATCTCTCACAGAGACCTGAAGAGCAAAAACATCCTGGTGAAGAGGAACGGCGCCTGCTGCATCGCTGACCTCGGCCTGGCCGTCAAGTTCATCAGGTCAGAGGCCTGCTCCTTTGGTTTACTTTCTTTGAGGTTAACCTGCTGTTTATTGTAGGCAGCAGGTTTAGCAACCAGTAAAAGAAAAAGTCATTTCAAATATTCATTTGAGTGATCACTCAAAAATTCCCTGTCTTGCATTTTACAACTTTTTTGTAGCAAGGTAAAACATTTTACTAATTAGTGCTAATATGTATTGTGGATTGTAATATGGATTGTCACTTTATTTTCAATTTGGCTTCGTAAATGAAATGATATTGAAAATAGTATATTAGTTTTATTGGTTTCTTTTCAGTGTAAATTTGTGCATACTGCACAGTTTAATTCTGTCACTCTAATTAAGATCCTCATTGTTTTTTGTTATTAATTATCAGATACATACTGCTCTGATAATTAAATACTGTTCTGTAATTAAAATATTACATATATATGTGATTGTTGTTATTGTTAACTAAAACTAAACCTATTAAAATTAGGCTAGATTTAATTATTTGAAATCAAGTTTTTCATCTATAGTATTATTTTCATTTTATTTTATTGCAGCTTGAACTTAAAAAAAATGAATGCTGTCTTGGCGATTAACTGAAAAAAAACAGGTTTAAGCTGAAGTAGTGAAATTGCTAAAACAGAAACTGAAATAAAAATAAATTAAAGCTAAATAGAAATATTAAAAAGACTATTGAAAATGACAAAAATTACAAAAACAAAACTGCTAAAACTTTAAATGAAAACTGAAAATATAAAAATAAAAGCGAAGTCAGACCTCTTTATCAGACTTCATAAATCCTCATCTAAAATCATCAGTTTTTTGTTATTAATTATATTCAGATACATACAGCTCTGACAATTAAATACTGTTCTATAATTAAAAATAGTTCTTCTTCTGTAGTAATATGTATATATATATTTTTTTAAAAGCTGGTCTTAGCAACTATCTGAAATAAAGAGGTTTAAGTTGTAGTACAAATTCAAAAACTGTTTTTTGTTATTAATTATATTCAGATACATACAGCTCTGACAATTAAATACTGTTCTATAATTAAAAATAGTTCTTCTGTAGTAATATGTATATATATATTTTTTTAAAAGCTGGTCTTAGCAACTATCTGAAATAAAGAGGTTTAAGTTGTAGTACAAATTCAAAAACGAATACTAAAATAAAAATAAATTAAAGCTAAATAGAAATATTAAAAAAATTATAATAAAAATGACAAAAACAAAAATTCTAATGGCAACTGAATATATAAAAATAAAAGCTATTTCAAAATAATAATAAATACTACAATGGTATATAAATAACACTTAAATAACACTGGTATATATTTACATTTATCCATTTATCAGACACTTATTCAAAGCCACTTGCAAATGAGGAAAATCACGAGTAAAATGTCATGAGAGCCAGCAGCATTAATATATTGATCATTTTTGTTAGACATACTATAAGCATTGCCCCTTATACAGCTTCAGTGTAGTTTAGTAGTAAATTGTAGCGTAACTAACTACTTTTTCGAAAGGGTATTTTGGCTATAGCTTGGCAAAGTACACTTTCAAAGTTGCATCTACAAGTTTTTCCCCTAATAGAACTGATGTGATGTGAAGAGTGTATGCTTATGAAATGAGCTCTACAGCTTAAATATGAGCACTGAAACACTGTTGTGTCTCATGAACAGCGACACTAATGAAGTGGACATCCCCCTGAACACGCGCGTGGGTACCAAACGCTTCATGGCTCCTGAGGTTCTGGACGAGACTCTGAACAGGCACCATTTCCAGTCCTACATCATGGCCGACATGTACAGCTTCGGCCTCATACTGTGGGAGATCGCCCGCCGATGTGTGTCTGGAGGTACAGCTCGGAATATTACTGTGTTTCATTTCAATATCAGCTTTGTCTCAGTTGTTTCTCATAATATTCCTTACTGATGTGGATAGTAAAGCTCAAGTCATTTAATCTTTAAAAAATGTTAAACACACGCATGTAACAATGCTGTGGAGCACTGATGACACATGTCTATATTTTTATATATATATGTATATATATATATATATATATATATACACACACACACACACACAGTTTTTTTATATTTATAGTAAAGTAATAAGTCTTTATTTAATATTGACAAACTATTCATCATTAGAAAAGTCAGTGTTTCGTTATAAATATATAATAGTAATTATAATTTCTTGTGAAGTCAGTCTCAATTTTCTCTTTACTCAATTGTTTGTATCAGGTTTATTTTAGTGTCATTAAGATACTATTATATTTTTTTATTAATATTTTGAATTAGTTTTTATTTGTTTTCCTTTTTCATTGTAATTTCAGTTTGTTTTACTATTTCTGTCTTGTGTTTTTGTCATTCTTATTATTTTTTAACCTGTTAACCCGCACCAGGGCCTCATTTATAAAATGTGCGTACGCACACGCTAAAATCCACGGCAACGTTCATATTTATAAAAACGGTCTTTGACGTGGAAAAGTACTTACCGTCACGTCAGGGTCTGAGCAGGCGTACGCACTTTTCCTTGTGGCAAAGTCAGAGTACTGCAGCTATTTAAACATCTAAGCTGCAATAATAATAAAAGCCGTGTATATATGTGCAAGCACCGAATCATCATAAACAACAAAGATGCAGTGCAAGAGATTAATTGTGCAGTGTAGTCAGATTTTTTATTAACAGGAGTTTCTACGAGATTAAACTAACCTTTTTAGTAGCCTAATGTTGAGAGTTCTTTACTCGCTTTCTGTGCACAGTTTATTCCATGTTTTTTTTTATTTTTTTTATTTCATTTTACAAGAGAACTTGCGAAGTCTTGATTTACTACTAATGTGTAAAATAGGGAAAAAAATGCATAAACGCATCTCCGACTGTCTTGCATACGCCTATGTCGTGCAATAACGGTTTTAATATATTCTATTCAATAACATTGTTAACTGTTTTTATTTATAACATTATAACAAAATGAATAGAGACATCAGCCTTAAACTTTGTTTTTGTCATTTACATCAGTTATTTGTATAAAATAAGCTACACTACATATTTTTGTGTCAGTACATTATTGGCACATTTGAGCAGCATTAGTAAACTGTGTAAATAGAAAGAAATGCCAAATCACATGCAGGTTTTTTCAGACCGGAGATCATAATCGTGGAATCATTTATTTTATTATGATATAAAACGTCAAATTTTTCTTTCAATAATGTTTTTTTTTTTAAAGTTTTGCAAGAATTTCCTGATACTAAACTTTTTATTAGTTGTCATAGCAAGTGATTTTAAAAGTAGGATGGCTCACTTTTTATAAGATGACTGAAATTTTTACTTGAATTCGTAGTTTATTCTTTCCTTTGGAAACCTAATTGTTTTATAATTACTACTACTACTACTATTTTTATTATTATTATTTCTGTTGTTTCTAGAAGTAGTAATTTTGATAATAGTCAATAGAAAAAATATATAACCACACACACATTATTTGTCCACAGAATAATTACACATTATTAAATAAAAAGCGTCCCGCACGTACCTCTACCTCCACCAGCAGGACCTCAATTTCAGACTCAGTAAAGTTTTTTTTTTTCTTTGTGCTCGTCATTCTCAAGCATATAAATTCGGATATTGGCGTGTGCTCTTTATATGGTAATGATATTAATTAGGGGGCGTTTACAAGGCGGAGATCTGACGCCAGTCAGCTGCGCACAATTTCAAGATCATTTGCGATTTATAAACGTCACATCTGGAAGAGAGGCGTACGCACGTGTTTTTGTGCGCATGTTCGTTTTCTCTGAATCGCACTTACGCACTTTTGAGAAATTATCTTAGAACAAATTTAGGACGGTTTATACACAACATTTTATAAATGAGGCCCCTGGACGCTGAGAGCGCTTTTTGTTTGCACGTGTCAATGTTTACGAATAGATTAAATGAAAAGGGACATAATCTTGACAAACTATATATCATTCTAAAGGTCTAAGCCTCAAGCATCGACAATAGATCGCTGTTTTTCAATGGAAAGCTTATAAAGAATGTATTTGCTAAATTTGTGTAATTAGTACACATCAAAACATGCATAATCAAAACGCAGTACGTACCAGATTCATCGTAATAACTAGTCATAAACGCATCCACAGCTGTAAATCCCGGTTTAGTTAATACTTTTATTTTAGTTATTTTAGTACATGAATATAAACCAATTAAAAATGAAATACATTTTTTAATACGTTTTTTTTAATTGTTAATATTTACATTTATTTAATTTAATGTTTGTTTCAAGTAACAATTATTATTAATTATTTTTAATAACCCTGGTTTGTATAAAAATGTATAAATTAATTGATTTAAGAGGTTAAAAGAGATTTTAATGAGATTTCATTCAAGTTTGTTGTTTTGTGTCTGTGTGTTGATTGCTATCCGGATGTTTCTGCAGGTATCGTAGAGGAATATCAGCTGCCGTATCACGATCACGTTCCTAATGACCCCTCGTATGAAGACATGCGAGAGGTTGTGTGTATTAAGAGAATACGTCCATCTTTCCCTAACCGCTGGAGCAGTGATGAGGTAAACACTCACTGATTCAGTGCTCTAAATCACAAAAACACACAACTTGACTCAAACTTGGTGTTCATTTGTACCTTTTTTTTGTCATAATTATTGTCAGTATTTCATGTCATATTTATTCATTTTAGTACATTTTTAGCTGATAGAGCCAGAATTATTATAGTTCACTAAAACTAAAACCATAGAAACATTTACTTTAAATAAACATAACTGAAATAAAATGACATGTATAATATATGTATAATATATAATATATATATATACAGTATATAATAACCCTGTTTCAGCTAGCTTCCAAGGCAATATTTCTCATTTTCATTTATACTGATGTATGTATGGTTTGCTGAAATAACTAATTTATTCAGATTCATACAGTATTTTTGTCGCATAGCTGTATTATAAGCCTGTCCTATCATACAAGATATCTATTAGCTTGCAATAGCACATATTAATGATCTAGTGCAGGGGGTCCTGGAGAACCCCCAACACTGCACATTTTAGATGTCTCCCTATTTAAACACACCTGATTCAACTCATCAGCTCATTAGTCAAGACTCCAAGACCTCAAATGTGAGTGTCAGATAAGAGAGACACCAAAAACGTGCAGTGTTGGGGGTTCTCCAGGACCAGGATTGGGAACCACTGATCTAGTGCATTGCATGTTATTTACATTAATCAAAGCAAAGAAATCAATTTTAGAAGAGAAACAAATCACAAATAATATAATTTCGTAAACTGGACAGTCTGTTTTTTCCAACCATCGTGACTTTCTTCAACTTGATTTTGTTGAAAGAGGGTTATGTTTGTCTGTGTGTTTTCAGTGTTTGAGGCAGATGGGGAAGCTCATGACGGAGTGTTGGGCTCATAATCCGGCCTCTCGTCTTACCGCCCTGCGTGTTAAAAAGACGCTGGCCAAGATGTCGGAGTCCCAGGACATTAAAGTCTGAAAACAGACCAGCAGCACTGACACTAACCCTGAACTCACCGCCTGCCGTGGGGTCAAGCGCTGAGTTCTGCCACGCGAGAGCCTCCTGAAAATGACCCGGCGCGGCGGAGGACGCCCGAGATCTCGTGTGATCTCAGGACAGAGATACAACCCGGTCCTGCTTCGTCACACGAGCACCCGTGAACACTGGCCAGCGGGACGAAGCAGGACCTCAGCGAGCGAGATCACATGACTCTCCTCAGAGAACTGTCAGCTTTCTCTTTCCACAGTCTGGTCAGCTCCAACAGGACCATGGTTTTGGATCATATCAGATTTGTGTTGTTAGTCAGTCAACAACTTTCAACAAGTTTCCTGCCTTTTTTGGTGGGCTGTGCCTTATTTATTTTGTAAATAGATGAAAATGAGAGTGAAGCATCAATGTACTTGAATAAATGTTCTAATGAGAATGAATGTTCTGTTACTTTTTGTGTTGCTTTTTAGTTGATCTTTCTTGTCAAGGTGTTTTCTGAATGAATAAAAAGGTTACATAGAACATTAAAAAAACCTTCATTCATATATATATATATATATATCCATAACTTAATCTTAATTCCACCGGCACCGTTCGGTGCATAGGGTGACAATGGCTTCGATCCGTGGCCGCGACTTCAACCTCGTCCCATGGAATGTCAACCGCTCGCAGATCTTCCATAAAAGTTCTTCGCCAAGTAATTTTTGGGCGTCCTTGTTTTCGTTTGCCTTGTGCAGGCCGCCAGGATATTGCCATCTTGAGTATCCGATGATCAGGAAGGAGTAAGATGTGTCCGGCGAAACGAAAATGGCGTTCAGTGACTGTCGCGGTGAGGGGCTGTGTATAGGCGCGACAGTATACTTCCTTTTTTTATTATTATTATTATGCAAGTAAGGAATGTGACAATAGTTACAAGTGCCAAATACAGAATCACTTGGACAAACGAACATATATCCAGATAGCTAACATTTCAAGATCATTCTGATAACTCCTGTATATGTATTCTTGTGATTGTGAGCATGTGTGTGTGTGTGTGTGTGCGCGTGTCATTGTCTGTAAGTGTGTGGGAGGAAGCATACAAATCATTGAGTATGAAAAATTCATAAAAGATAACAAACGAACATATATCCAGATAGCTAACATTTCAAGATCATTCTGATAACTCCTGTATATGTATTCTTGTGATTGTGAGCATGTGTGTGTGTGTGCGCGTGTCATTGTCTGTAAGTGTGTGGGAGGAAGCATACAAATCATTGAGTATGAAAAATTCATAAAAGATAAAAAAATAATAATAATTAACCCAGCCCCTGTTTTGGTTGCCATGGTAAATGATTGTTCAGATAGTCATGTTTATAATTACTCAAGGTTAAACCGTAAAAAAAAAAAAAAACATTCAAGGAATCTCCAGGAAGGTCAAATAATAAAAACACAAGGCCACTTTCAGTGTTGATTAAAAATATAATTTATTTAAAAAATCCTTTACATACATTTTATACAGAAACTGGCTGCAGACATAATAGCGTTTGTTTTTGATTCTTAATGAAGCTTTATTCTGTGGATTAAACTCTCTCTGTACACACGAGTCATAACGATGCACATCTGCCAGCGGTTCACACAGAAGCACACGTTGCATAGTTGGCACTGCATTTCCAGCAGACAGAGACACTCACTGCACTGCTGCTCTTCAGCCTTACAGAGGGGCTTTTCTGTTGTCTTGTTTTGCTCGTTAATTTGCCTTTTATTTTGCGCACAGCTCCTCTGCTCTGTTGGATTGTGGGAAATGGCAGTTGGTTGGAGGCCTTTTTCGTGTTGGTGGACACACCAACACCAGCCTCTAGTGTGACGGATTTATGCAGAACGCACACACAGATCATCATTACCTGTAAACTCTCTGTTCCGCCTGTAAACACATTTAGGAGTTTAACTTTAGGTCTTGCTAAAGACTTCTGTTATTTCCTGCAAATGGGAATTTTATATTTGAGCTGAGATGAAATCAAAACGACCCTGTTTGCTTTCTTAATGCATGTTCCTGGTCTTATAGTATGGAAGCCCATTTCTGCCACATAAGAAAAAAAAATCACGCTTTTGGTAAAACAGGATAAATAAAAGACATTGTCAAATTTCATTATAAAAAAATAGAATGAAAAAATGTTCAGAGTTATGAGATAAAAAGTTGAAATGACGGCGTAAAAATGATAAGATACTAAGTCAATGCTGACATTAAAAATTCAAACCTGACAAAACTTCCATTATAACAAAAAAAATGTAAATTGCGACAGATCTAAATTATAACAGTCATAATTATGAGATAAGCTGAAACTTACGAAAAGTAAAAAAAAAAAATAGAAAGTCATAATTATGACAAAAAATTTAAAAAAATTGAGAATGTCAAAATATATATGACATACAAAATCTAAATTATGTTGAAATCGAAAAAACGTCATCAAAAAGTTAAATTATGACAACTAAATGATAAAAGTCATAATTATAAGGCAAGTTTAAAATATCACAAGTCAAAAATTATGACACTAAAGGTAGCAGACTTTATGAAAAAGTCAACATTATAAACAAAGTCAAAATTCTGAGATGAAAAAGTAAATTGTGACAACTCAAAATTATCAGATACTGTCAATTAGGACATTAACAACTGGAAACAGACAAAGCGTCAACAAAAAAAAGTTGAAATTATGCCAATTCTAAATTATAAGTCATAAGTTGAAATTGACAAAAAGTAAAAAAAAAAAAAAAGATACTAAGATATTAAGTCATAATATGACATACAAAATCAAAATTATTACAGTTAATTTTGTTGAAATTAAGTTGAAATCGACAAAACAATCAAAAAAGTTTAATTTTGACAACTCTAAATGATAAAAGTCATAATTATGAAAAAAGTAAAAAAAAAATTAAAAAAAAAGAGCTACTAAGTCATAATTTAATTCATAAATGATGAGATACTAAAGGAAGTATAACATCAAAATTATAAGATTAAAAAGTAAATTATGAAAAGATACTAAGATATTAAGTCATAATATGACATACAAAATCAAAATTATTACAGTTAATTTTGTTGAAATTAAGTTGAAATCGACAAAACAATCAAAAAAGTTTAATTTTGACAACTCTAAATGATAAAAGTCATAATTATGAAAAAAGTAAAAAAAAAATTAAAAAAAAGAGCTACTAAGTCATAATTTAATTCATAAATGATGAGATACTAAAGGAAGTATAACATCAAAATTATAAGATTAAAAAGTAAATTAAAAAAAATGTAAATTGGCAAAACATTATAAATAATGACGTCAAAATTATGACAGTCAACATGATCACAAGTAAATTGAGAAACAAAAATATGAGAAACTATGTCCAAATATGACATGACAGAAAATTGACAAAAAATTTGACAAAAAAAGTTTATATCAGGAGATTTAAAAAGTAAACTATAACAAAAATCACGCATTCAATTATGACTTTCTATCTAATAATTTTGACTTTTTAGGCCATATTTTCAAATGCTTGTCACAATTAGTTTGACAAGTTTGACTTTTTAAAAAATGATTACTTTTTATGTCATATTTATGATTTTCCACTGCATGATTTTAATTTCTTACGTGGCAGAAATGGGCTTCCACAGTATAGTGAATGATTCATCAGTTTCTCACTTTCCTTTCTGCTGACATCAACAAGCCCTCTTTTCCCCAGGACATTACTTTCCTAAATGTCACAAGAAGTTCGTGTGCATGTAAATATGACCGGATAAACTCAAGCAAACATATTCCATAGAAATGTTTCATTCACGTATTTGGATATCTATCAAATGTCTGACACCTTTCATGTGATTGAGAGATCTCATTTCTAGTGTAAGTGTGTGGATGAAGGGTCACACAGGAGTGACATCTTTAATATTTGCCAGATAAATGTATTCCACCGGACCGGCAGTGTTGATAGGAAGAGCAAAGCCTCAGAGTTTTTGCCCTAACCATCAACTAAGGACATTTTTTGGTTGCTTAGTTTCTCGTTCTGTCTCGTATCAGTGGGAAACCAGCACATCTTTATATGACACATATCATATGTTCTGACTGGCTGTGATCGTGTGGTATTGAGTCCGGGCAGAAGAATAAGCTGTCACTGGACACTGCTTAACCCCTAAAACAACTCACCATAACCACAGCTTCCACCAAAACTTACTACAGTTATGATTACTACAATAAACCTACAGCCACTCACTGTCATAAACGTCAAATGAAGGATTCTGAAAGAAGTAGATTAATTCATTACACTATTCCAGTAGTAACAATAACTGTTGTATCCATCACGTTTTTGCAGAAACTTTACGTTATTTCAAGTGATAAATTTACTCTTTTGAAAATAATGCACAATAACAACTTTATCTACGCACAGTAAATAAAGCAATCATTTGAAATAAAAACTAGTTAATAATAATATTATTTCAATAAAAATATGTAAATAAAATAAAAAATGTTTTTAATAACAATAACGAATTAGTATTATTTATTATAATAATTTATTTTCATTATAATAAATTATTATTATTTAAAGTATTATTTAATTTTATTATTTAAATAATAACAAAAATTACATTTTGAAAAATAATAACAACAACAACAACTAATTATTATGATTATATATGTGACCCTGGAGCACAAAACCAGTCATAAGGGTACATTTTTTAAAATTGAGATTTATACATCATCTGAAAGCTGAATAAATAAGCTTTCCATAGATTTATGGTTTGTTAGGATCGGACGATATTTGACCAATATACAACTATTTGAAAATCTGGAATCTGAGGGTGCAAAAAAATCTAAATATTGAGAAAATCATCTTTAAAGTTGTTCAAATTAAGTTCTTAGCAATGCATATTACTAATCAAAAATTCAGTTTAGATATATTTACGGTGAGACATTGAAAAAATATCTTCATGGAACATGATCTTTACTTAATATCATAATGATTTTTGGCATAAAAGAAAAATCGATAATTTTTCATACAATGTTTTTGTTTGGCTATTGCTACAAATATACCTGTGCTACTTATGACTACTTATGGTTTTGTGCTCCAGGGTCACATATTATGATAATAATTCCTCAAATATAAAAAATATTTTTAATGATTTAAATAAAACTTAAATCAATATTATTACTATTATATTATTACTATATTGCAATAATATTGTGTATTTAATCATAATCATAATTGTTATTATTTATAGAACAAAGGTCAAATGACAATATCAATATTTACGTCTGCCTTAATTTCTTAGCTTTCAAACGTTAAACCATAGAGCTTTTATTTTGGCAGCAGTGGTTATTAACCTTACTACAATAACTTGGTATTAGCCTTCACTTAAAGAAAAAGTAGTAACAATAACTGTAGTTTCCGTCACATTTTAGCAGAAACTGTAGTCAGTTTTGTAAGGGGTAAGTGTGCTCTTGTTAAAGTAAAGCGTCTGGTAGAGCGAGACGTGAAACACTGATGATGCACAACACAAACAGCCCATGCAGAACGAGTGAAAGATCATCATTATTACAGCGTGATGAAACATTGCATTCCAGAAAATCAAAAAACTACGTCTGACATGATTCTCCAATCCCTGGCGAGTGCTCACGTGCACTTTTGTTCAACAAACAAACATATTTACTGTACCCGCGTTACAAAAATAATACAATTCAAATCGCATCTGAACGGTAACTGGATTTTAAAGGCCACTTTAAGGTACTCGCACTAAATACTGTATTCATGTCTCAAAATATGATATTACATGAGCGTTTGTTGTTTCTGCAACCACTAGATGGCACCACAAAATTCAGTGACTAGAGGATGATACAGTGGGAGATTTCTGCTGTCGAGCCTGAAGCGTCTCGACCCTGTTCCTGCTTCACCTTTGACCCCAAACTGGCGGCATCCACATCCACTGACGGCAGCGGAGCACGTTTCAAGAAACTGAATAAGATGCCGCGTCAGCGTCTCGGTTTTTGATGGAGTGGCAACACAACTTGAGCTGGACATCGTCATTGATGTGAGGGTCACTGTTCCTTGGCCATGGCGGCGGCGATGCTGTTGTCATGGCGACCCATCTCCTCCAAAACAGTGGCGAGCTGGTTGAGGTTTCCGTGCGGGAAGTGTTGAGCTTCCCAGAGATCCAGAATCACTCCGGTCGGACTCGTCTTAGTCGCAAAGTAGTTGAGATACCTGCAGGGCAGGTGAGAGGAAACACTCAGTAGTGTAGGACCACAATATATCACCATACACTTATTTGTGTTGGAAATTCAACATTTTTATGCTATTTTAATGTGGCAATGTTTTTTTTTTTTTTTTTTTGCATAATCTGATTTGACTATTTTCTCTTTTCATTTGGAGCTTGGGCACAAACCAGCAGATCAGATTATTCCTAAATATTCATGTAAATTTAATGTATTATATTTGTGAGATTATTTCTTTAATAATAATGCAATAAAAGTGTGATAGGCTTATCGGTGACATGGAAATAAAAAACAATTCTAAAACCATTTTAATAAGTATGTGATCAGCAAAAGACAAAAAAAAAAAACAGTTTTACTCCTAATAAAAATACTTAATATTGGTATCAGTTATTACAGCTATTATTATTAAAAAAGTATTATTTAAACATTAAATAATAAAAATATATATTACTATTGCACAGTAAATAAAGAGTATTTAATAATAATACTTATTATTATTATTAGTTGTTACTTCTATTATTATTCATAGTATTATTTTAGTTAAATGAAAACAATAATAAATCAATACAAATATTCATATTCCACAGTGAAAACAAACAACAACAATAACAATAATAGTAATTATTATCATTCAAAATATTTTTAATTTATAGTAATAGTAAGTGTTATTCAAAACATTATTTTTATTTCAAATAATACAATTATAATAATATTTAAATAATACAAATTAAATCTAAATCTACTACTGCAAAAATACTATTACAGTGTAAATAAAAGACAAGTATTTAACAACAATAACAATAATTGATATAACAAAATTAAGTAATAGTAAAATAGTAGTAATAATAAAATAAGAAAAATGAAGAAAATTTGTTTATTTTATATAACAACAGTAAAATTACTACACCAATATTTATGTCTGTCTTAATTGCTTTGCTTTGGAAGTCCATATAAATTAATAGCAATAATAACACTAATAATAAAATAATAATCAAAATTAAGAATGTTATTATTATTTTATATAACAACAGTAAAATCAAAACACCAATATTTATGTCTGCCGTAATTTCTTTGCTTTGAAACGCCATATAGGCTAAAAACCAGAAAGTGTTTTATGTGTATTGAAGGATTTACTCATCAGCTACAACAATGTAATGATCTTGTCATACAATGTAATAATTTACCGATTTTCTCAGTACATATGAAATAATTGCAATTACTTTGATTACATTATTCAATAAAAATAAGAAAACAGCCAGTATTCACGCCTGTCTACAATTGAATTCTATATTTCTGTAAGGTGTGACACCCCTCGTTACTTCATGTTTTCCCATCATTCTCACATGCACTGTATGTACAGCAAAACGTCAGCAGCTTGACACACTTCCACATCACAAGGTGTATAACATCAGTCGGTCCTACAGATGAACGGAGAAGCTCTCCACGGTCTCCAGCAGAAGGTCTGGATATCTGCACACTATGACTGATGAAGAACTTTCACAGCCTGTCTTTTCACTTTTAACATCTTCTTTTTTCCCAGGATCCTCCTTGCTTTATCGCTCTACTTCCTGTCCCCTGTGAACTCAAACTCTCTCGTCTTCTGCCTCTTTCATGCCTGCTGGTCCTCAGAGGTGAACAGTGAGCTCTCCATCCTAAACTCTCTCTCGTTTGAAATCAGATCTCTCGTTCTTAAAGCGTCCTGCAGTAACACCTCAACAAGAACTCAAACCATAGGGGTCCTGTGCTTTTTTTGCCTTTTCTTCTAATTACGTGGATTGTGGAGGCGCACAGAAACGCTGCTATTTTGAAAAGTTGATGTTCGAGAGAGTGAATATATCTCTTCGTATTCTCCAGGCAGAGCGAAAAGAACAATAGGAAATTTCTTTTTTGCACTCCTGCTGTTTTTCCACCGTTAATTGTCTTCAAACTCCCCTATGAGATACTTTTAGAGCACATTAGTTTCTCTTCTATCGCTTTTCAAATAAAAACTACACTGCAGTCTCAGCTCATTGATGATAAACAAACGCTCACACTAGGGACGCGCTAAAATGTTGACCTATAATGATAGATGGAAATTATGTATTTTATGGTGATATTATATTATTTCGTAAAAATCTATGCTGTCAAAAAACATTTTCATTAATTGAAATAAAGCTAAAATAAAATACATTTAAAATTTAAAAAATTAAATTAAAAATGTCACCTAACTGAAATAAAACTGATTTAAGCTGCAGTACTAAAATTATTAAAACCACAATGAAATAAAAAATAAATGAAAGCTACATAGAAATATAAAACAATATTACTAAAACATATAATATATTTTATTTTATGAACTTGAAATGGGACTAGATGTTATATTTCACTTTTTGAATTTTTTAGCATGTACTGTATATAAAAATGTAAGCTAGACTTTCATGTTCAATTCAATTTAGCCATTAAAAACTTTTCAGCACAAAATTAATATTTTATGAAGTAAAATAAAAAAATAAAGTAAAATTTGAAAACAAAAACATAATATTATTTTCTTTAAAAAAAAAACACTTTTATTTAGCAAGGATGCATTATTAAGCCGCACAACTGTTTTCATAATAATCAGAAATGTTTAGCTAAAATAAAATAAATTTAAAATAAAAAAAATGTAATTAAAAATGTTGCCTAACTGAAATAAAACAGATTTAAGCTCAAGTACTAAAATGATTAAAACCACAATGAAATAAAATAGTCATTAAAAACTTTTCAGCACAAAATTAATATTTTATAAAGTAATGTTACATTAGAAAAAAAATCCATAATATTATTTTCTTTAAAAAACATACTTTTATTTAGCAAGGATGCATTATTAAGCAGCACAACTGTTTTCATAATAATCAGAAATGTATCTTAAGCAGCAAATCAGCATATTAAAATGGAGGATCATGTGACACTGAAGAGTAATGATGCTGAAAATTCAGCTTTGCATCACAGAAATAAATTACATTTTAAAATATATTCAAATAGAAAATATAAAACAGAAAATTGTAATAATATTTTACATTATTGCTGTTTTTACCGTATTTTTGATCAAATAAATGCAACCTTGGTGAGCATAAGAGACTTAAAAAATCTTAATGGCATTTAATTATTTACAAACTTCATGGAAACGAAGTGAGAATGCATGCACATACAGTGTTGATGTGTGTGAACGTCACCTGTCCAGGTTGAGTTTGTGTGCCAGTATTCTCCAGTCGTTTCCGCGTGTGTGCGGGACGTCCAGGCTGCTGCACAGTTTGCTTCTGATGCTGACCGGGATCCTGAACGCGCTCGGACCTGCAAGAACCGTGATACTGCTGCCTGGATCCATCAGGGACGTGTCGATGCTCTGGACGTCCTGCAGAAAACACATACACTCCATCATACGTTTGATTACTTAATCTTAATTATGTGTCTGAAGTAAATGTACACAACCACTCTATAGTGGCAAAAATCCCCCATAATCCCCATAAATCAGAAATGGGGTCTCAAAAGGCGCCATTCAGGAATGTACTCCAAAGTGATGTCACTTTGGAACAAGCCCCGCCCACAACTGCTAACGATCTTTGCTTTATTAGCTTAGCTCCTCCCCTGAGTGAGCTGTACTCAGTCTGCCATGTTTATGTCCTCGTTAGAGCATTTAAACTCAGCAATTAAGAAATTCATTCTTAAAACTACTTGAAGTTATTCAGTCAAGTTCAGTGAGTGCTGTTTGTTTTGTTGTTTGATTCATATTAACAGCACAGACAGCAGCAGGTACTGAATATTACCCTTCTGTCATGCAGATCAAATATTTACATGCGATTTCTTTTCAAGCTGTTTACGTTCACAGACATAACCGACTGTTTTTGTCTTCTGTGTACTCAACAGTTTAAGCGCAATAAGACACGAAAGAGAACTTAAATGAGTACTCATGCTCAGAACACCATATATCAGACTATTAAACTGATGCGGCTTTAAAACATGTGCAAATAATACACTTTTATGATGACGACGAACTGCAATGTAACATGAGCACAATACACATGCTTATCCAAACCAAACAGACGTTTTGTTTTGGCGGTGTATGCGAGGCATGGGCTGTAAAGACTCTCCTGGAAGGGGGCGGGGTACAGCAGCTCATTTGCATTTAAAGATACATGCACAAAAACTGCATGTTTTTCCTTCTGTTAAAAAATGTAATTTTTAGCATGGAATAATAAATTATCTGTGAGGTATTTTGGGCTAAAACTTCACAGACGTCTTGCATATTGTATATACTACATATTGTAAAAAGGGGCATAATATGCCTCCTTAAAAGCTAAATAGAAATGACAAAAGCACAAAACAATATCCCTATCACCTTAGCAATCACTCAGAACGCTATAGATGAAATATGTGTTCTTGATCTAAAATAGATATTTAAAATGTAAATGCAATTAGAATCACATGATGGTGAGTGTTTGCTCATTACTTTGATGTAAGTCTCTTAAAAAACACTAATAAACGGAGACTAATTACACATAGTTCTTCTGATCACTAACACACGTCTAACGTCTAAACATGTGTTTCTTCATTTTGAAGCCGCTCATATGTATCTTCATATGTATAAACAGCATCATGCGTCTCAGTCTCCCGCTGAGCTCCCCTGCTCTTTTGGTATTTAGAAATGTTCTCACCGAATCAAGGCTGTTTCCCTGCTGGAGATACACTCTGCTTCTTGGAAATAATATCGACTGACATTTCCAATGCATTCAAATCCGAGCTGCAATCTCAATCGTGTGTGAGTGCGTGTGTGTTGAGGAGGAGGTTTAATTAAATCACTCTCGTTGGTGATATTATTCGTAAAAAGCAACAGCACCAAATAAAAGCTTCTGCTTTTGTACATCCATAAGAACAGAAGCGGAGGATGTGAAATGAGCGCAGCTGCTTTGCATTTGATTGACACAGAATATTAAAATTCCCACTAAAATGCAACCAAATCACAACATTGAAACAATGCATTAAATTGATCAAAAGTGACAGTAAAGACATTAAAAATGAAATAAATGCTGTTAAAGTTTTCAACATTGATAAGAATAAGACATTTTTCTTGAGCAGCAAAAAATTAGCATATAAGAATGATTTCTGAAGGATCATGTGACACTGAAGACTGGAGTAATGATGCTGAAAATACAATTTTGAATCACAAAAATAAATTAAATTTTTAAATATATTACAATAGAAAACAGCTATTTGAAATTGTAATAATATATTTCACAATATTACAGTTTTTACTGTATTTTTGAACAAATAAAGTTAAATAAAAGCACAAAACAACATGACTAAAATTTAGTTTTAATAATGTTGAAATGAAATAAAAAAAACAACAACTTAAAACCACCCTAATCACCCTCAACACCTACCAGTATTGTTAATGTATTGTTAACTATGATAATAATGAAATATTAAAATCATTTTCATTAATTCAAATAAAGCTTAAATAAAGTATAAATACTATGAAAATTAAAAATGTTGCCTTGGCAAGTAACTAAAATAAAATAAATGAAAGTTATTAAATTGTTCAAACTAAAACTGAAAAAAAGAAAGCTAAATAGAAATATAAAACAATATTACTAAACTTAACCTTAAATAAAAATTAACAATTTAATGTTAATTAATAATTTAACAATTTCAAAATATTAAGAAATGCTACAATAGTGTAAAAATAATACAGAAATAACACTGTGAAAAACTTTAAAAGAAAAATACTTAAAAAATCCCCAAACTTTTGAACAGTTAGATGAAATAAGAAAAGCCACGGATGGAAATGACATAAGACAACTAGAATACTGAAACCAGGTTTTAAAATTCTATTTAATTAATATTATTATACAACTTTAATTTCTCCTGAAAATGATCATACAATTGTGTGCAAAGCTACAACAGACAAAACCATCTGATGAAAACCAACGCTCCACAGAATCTTCCTCATTTAAAGGGGTGGTTGATTGCGATTTCACTTTTTTAACGTTAGTTAGTGCGTAATGTTCCGGGTTCTTACACCTTTTCCAAATTCAAGGACAATGTCTATTGTAACATATTAAGCCACAAAATGACTTCAAAAAACATGATTTGCAGTTCAAATACAGGTTTTCACAAATAGAAATAGTTGAAAGTGACAAACCAAAAAACATTGACAAACCTCAGCCTTAAAAAAAAATTTTTTTTTAAAACAAAGAAGGAACGAGTCAAAAGTATAAAAGATTTTCAGCGGATGAATTTGCATTTTCAATAAGCCTGTCTGCTGTTTTTGTTCAGAACAAAGAGCTAATGTGCCTTAAAAAAATTTTTTTTTTCAAATTTAGACAGTAAGATGTGTGTGATTTAAATTAAAAATATTCTTTACACTTTTGACTCATCCATTTTCTTTTCTTAAAAATAGCTTAAAGGCTCAAATGTGATGTTCTGTCTGCCACTAGGAGGCGCTTTTGGAACAGCATGAATACAGCAGTTTCCCCGGTAACGGCTGCACACAAAGCAGCGCTGGCTCACAAACGCTACTTTGTCAGCCATTACGCTGTACGTCGGTGAGATGAAACGATAATGCCATTGAAAGGCAGTCGGTTCACTTCAGAGATGCATTATTATAAAAACACCTGCGCTGCGTTTCAACTTTGAAATGTTTATTTTATTATTTCACTTTAATCGCGACAGTTTTTAACATATAGTTTAACTGACCATGGGCATGTTTGCTGACCTTTTACACGGCTTGAAAGCGCAGACTCTCCCATAAAAAAGCACACTTTACAGGAGACTTTACATTATTTTAACCATAATATGTATTTGTCATTTTCAAGCCAACGCTGACTGAAGCAGCAACCTCCTGACATGTTTTATCATCCCGCTCCATAAGAGGGCGCGTGTCAATAAAGACAGACAGATCACACTATAGCCACACGCGTGAGTCGAGCTGAGCTGTTTTTTCGTTTTATGCAAAAAGCATTTTGTCTAGAAAGTGAACTAACGTTATTCAGTAATAAAGCAAATTATTATAAAACCAATGCAATTGCAATTTCAAGCAGTTTCAAGCAGTTTATCACACCTTGAAAACTCTAAGTTAAAATTCAAGCATTTTCAAGGATTTCAAGCACCCGTACGAACCCTGAATGTTGCTGTTTGAGCATAAACAATATCTGCAAAGTTATGACGCTGAAAGTTCAATGCAAATGGAGATATTAGTCTTTTAAAATTATGGCAGTTTAATGCCTACAAAAATGGCTGGTAGGGATTACAACGAGCCACATCCCGGGTTGGTGACATCACAAACCCCGAGATTTACATAAACCCCATCTGCTTCAGAGAAGAGGAAGAGTTGTTGCCAATGCCGTCAAAACTAGGGGTGCCCGAAAAAATATATTCATATATGAATCGCGATTCTGTCTTCTAACGATTCTAATGGATTAACAAGTTTCAAAATCAATGTTCTAAAGCAGCGGTTCTTAATACTGTTCCTCACGTCCCCCTGCTCTGCACACGCTCTGCATCTCTCTCTCTCAGATCATCATCTCATCACAGCTCCATCAATGATAGTAGTAGAGATTCATTTGGAGCCAGAGTCTGCGCAGTAGAGTCGTGAGGTTGAGCCGCAGAATCAAAGTCCCGCCCAAACTCCCGCAGACCCAATCAACCATAACGACACGCCCCGTTTTTATAGCATCAAATTACTAGCTAAAATCAAACTTATCACAAAAACGAACAATTTAACATATATCAGTGCGATAACAACTACCTTAAATGACCAAAAACTTTCGGAAAACTGTATTGGAAGTGTAATTAATTTTTTTATTTTGACTCAAGTCCCATTCGTTTACATGGAGAGGGCGGGGTTTATGACTTGTACTGCAGCCAGCCACCAGGGGGCGATCAAAGAGCCCGCAGCTTCACTTTTCAGGACGTGTGAGGCCCATCTGAGACAGACAGCTATTTTTCACAAAGCTACAAGAAGCGCACACGTTTGCCATGGAAGCGCCAAACACTTCTTACTGTTAATGCAATAAACTACAATGCAATAATGTATTCTGCTGTATTACAGCTATAAAACCGTATATCAGAGGCTAACATAAGCAGTAGCATTTACAAATAACAGTGTATCTAAAAGTACGAGACAACAACAAACAAAAAAACATACCATTCTGAAACGTCCTGTATGAGCCGTGTGCTTGCACAGATCCTCTTCATTAATATTCTTTGGGTCTCAATCGGGCTCAAACTGATAAGCAATATTGACTTACAATACAACCGGAGCACATTCTGAGGTGAGGGGCGGGACGTTTCTGAACGCGCACTAGAGGCAATTTAGCGAATCACAACACACTGGGCCAGCTGACCAATCTGAACCCATTGCGTATTTCTGAGGGAGGGGCTTCATAAAAGCAGGAAATCATCAGCGTGTTTATCAGAGAAGGGACAGCGGGGTGTGGAATAAAGGTAAATTATGTGAAAAATAATGCGCTTTAAAAAAAAAAAACTAAGCATCAACACGTTAGACTGCATCCCATAAACACAATCAAGCCTAGAAAAAAAAGTCAACCACCCCTTTAAACATCGTTGCACAAGTGTATCAAAATGAGCATCTTTGATCAATAAATGCACTCAATCTATTTTTACCAGTATGAAATGACAAGTGCACTGAAAACAGTCCCCGAAGAGGCCGAACATCAGTCAGACAGACACGCTTCGCAGCCCAGAAGGACTCAATTCATCGCAACGCATCCATCTATAATGTTAACGAATCTGTGCTGTTCTTAATTAGACACATTGATTAAAGCCCAGGAGCAGCGGAGAGAGAAAAACACAGCGGCTCTGTGAAAACCCTTTGTGATGTATAGACAGACGTGTGAGGGTGTTAAGAGTAGCTGAAGCTCTTGAACAGCCTCTTCTCCAGAGACGCAAACGCATGGGAACTGAAGGAAGACAGCCGATGGAGAGCACGGCGCCGTTACAAACCCTAGTGAGCTGCTTAACTAGATAGTATCCCAGAATTCGACCAGATTTCTGAAATTGAAACCAGGGATTTTCCTATCTGAGTGGTCAAAATATCTAAATCTCTCTCTCTCTTTCATCTTTTTTTTTCTTTGAATAAAAAAAACAGGGTGAATATATCTGTAATGTTTTTTTAAATGTTGTGGGTTCCCTATTCTATTAATATAATTATGATGATGTTTAGTTGGATTGTTATGATTGTTTCAGTTTTGATTTTGATCTAGTTTTAATACAATTGACCAAAAATCACACTATGAAAATAGTTCATAGTAATCATGGTCAATAGCAAGCAGTTCAAAAAATATTATATCAAAATTAAACATATTTTTAACATTTCCTGTTTGTAACTGTATATAATGTAATAATTTTCCCAAACAGATGACAAGATGACAACTTTAGTAACTTTTTTGTGTGTGTGTGTGTGTGTGTGTGTGTGTGTGTGCTTGGAAATTACTCTCACTATCCTATCTTACTAGCTTTAATTAGGCGAAATAATTATGTTGCATTTTTATTTTCAAAATGAGCGTAATAAGCATAATAATAAGCATAGTTACACTCTAAAAAATGCTGGGTTGTTTCAACCCAACTTTGGGTCAAATATGGACTAGCCTAGCTGTTGGGTTAAATTTTTTTAATTACATTTTTAACCCAAAAGTTGGGTTAGTCCATATTTGACCCAAAGTTGGGTTGAAACAACCCAGCATTTTTTAGAGTGTAGGAATAGTAAAGATACATTTCCAAAAATATAAACATAAAACAACATTTGGAAAGTTGCAATTAGTGTATACTCAGTTTATGAAAACGAAAATGTTAAATACTGTAAAAAAATGTACAAATATTTGTTAAGTACAATTTTATTTATCATATGTTCTCATATTCATAATTGTATTTTTGTCATGTGTTTTTGTAAAGTCATAATTTTGTTATAATACTGTTTTGATCTGTAGCTATTTGCTATAGTTACTATTTGTCTCATAGTGTACTATTGTATTTAAAAACTTAATCTTTAAAAATTTTCAACATAACATTCCTGCACCCTATTCAAGCCCTGTTGTAAAGCACATACAAACATTATTTTAATTTAACATAAATAGTTAATATGTTACTGGCTTAAAAGCATAACAATAGCTGTTTCCATCACCCTGTTTTTATGCACATTTTGAAGTATCGCATCAGAAACGAGTGATGGAAACGGCAAATTAAAAAAAAAAATCCCTTAATTCGCAAACATTTTTTTTGACTTGTGCGAAAAAGGGTTAATGCGAATGTAGCGTCTGGACCAATCCAACACACTATATATTCTCTTTTTATATAACAAATACTCTGTAACCTCAGTTAACAAGCCATATGAGGACCCATGAACCCTTCCCCCCGGAATGCGTAACACCCCAGGAAGTCGAACAGGCCTCTTTGTTGCATGGCAACCAACGCTGATATCACTGGGTTTATTGGCCAAAAGTATGTAAAGCAGGGAAAATCCCTGCTTGTCCCAAGGAAAAGCAGAGTAGAAATGGACTGTGTTCTAGTTAATTCATAGAAAAACCGTTATTTGAATGAACACACATATTTCTTCAGGCCATTGAGTATATTATTGTCATTGTGTATTTTGTCTTTGATATTCTTAGACTATTTTAGTATGCTTGTGAGAGGACCCATTCCTGATCCTCCCTTTTCACTATATGTAATCCTACCTTGTTTAGTATCTATGTGTGTGTGTGTGTGTGTGTGTGTGTGTGTGTGCTTGGAAATTACTCTCACTATCCTATCTTACTAGCTTTAATTAGGCGAAATAATTATGTTGCATTTTTATTTTCAAAATGAGCGTAATAAGCATAATAATAAGCATAGTTACACTCTAAAAAATGCTGGGTTGTTTCAACCCAACTTTGGGTCAAATATGGACTAACCCAACTTTTGGGTTAAAAATGTAATTAAAAAAATGTAACCCAACAGCTAGGCTAGTCCATATTTGACCCAAAGTTGGGTTGAAACAACCCAGCATTTTTTAGAGTGTAGGAATAGTAAAGATACATTTCCAAAAATATAAACATAAAACAACATTTGGAAAGTTGCAATTAGTGTATTCTCAGTTTATGAAAACGAAAATGTTAAATACTGTAAAAAATGTACAAATATTTGTTAAGTACAATTTTATTTATCATATGTTCTCATATTCATAATTGTATTTTTGTCATGTGTTTTTGTAAAGTCATAATTTTGTTATAATACTGTTTTGATCTGTAGCTATTTGCTATAGTTACTATTTGTCTCATAGTGTACTATTGTATTTAAAAACTTAATCTTTAAAAATTTTCAACATAACATTCCTGCACCCTATTCAAGCCCTGTTGTAAAGCACATACAAACATTATTTTAATTTAACATAAATAGTTAATATGTTACTGGCTTAAAAGCATAACAATAGCTGTTTCCATCACCCTGTTTTTATGCACATTTTGAAGTATCGCATCAGAAACGAGTGATGGAAACGGCAAATTTAAAAAAAAAATCCCTTAATTCGCAAACATTTTTTTTTGACTTGTGCGAAAAAGGGTTAATGCGAATAAAAGGAGATGGAAACGCTTTTGCTGAGTAAATTCCTCCATGCACATAAAAAAAGTCATGTGACTTGCGCTATGGGACGGCAATACCTAACCAGTGAACCAATCTCGTTCCTCAGCATCTGAAATGTTATGGTAATTTAGAAAATTTCCGAGCACATTCTGTCATCAACGTATTTCTATTTAATTGCCTCCCAGAACTGTTACACAACTGCTTTCCTAAACAGCAGCATCCACCTCCGAAAGCACTGGCCGCATTTATTGAGTTTCGTCTGCTCGCTCTGAGCCGCAAGTAATTTATTATATAGGCCTATGAAAATTATTATATTCAGGGGTTTCTCCTACTTTTCATAGTGATATATATCCTAGCGCCAGTTCTACCAGGAAGTGACGATTGTGTTCTCTTTGACTCGTTGGATGGAAACGGTGCTTATTCGCAAATGTTTTATGCGATATTTCAATTTTGCTCATAAGTTAAATTCGCAAATTGGATGGAAACACGGCTAATGTGAATCTTTTGATAATTGATGATAATAGCGCTCTGCTCTCATCCAGGTTACGTTCGTCAAGTATTGGTGCATGACCAAGTCATCGGTGTAGCTCACAGCGCCCTCTGTTTGTAAAAGTAATCACTACACGATTGCTCCGATGACCAGAGGGTTACTGCATGGTCTGGCTTTTTTGCAATGTATTTTTGAACCTGCTCTACGGGGACGTCTGGTCACCCTATACCAGAATGCACTGCAACAAGCTTGCAAAGTAAGCTTGGAAGTAAATTCACGGAAGGAATTCATTACCTGCGAGAAAAATTGAGGCATCACAAGATGAGTGTGTGTTTTCATTCTGAGCAAATATCAAGCATCTAAAAACGTCCGAGTGGGACAGCAGAGAGCGAGAGAGGGCGTGTTACGGTACCTCGCTCAGGGTGGTGTAGAGCTGGAAGATCTGACCTTCTCCCTCCACCTGTCTGACGCACAGCTTGCAGCACAGCTCACACACACTCACGCTCTGACGCTCCAGAGCAAAGGAGCAATGCAGCCGCCGCACCGATCCACTCCACACCTGAGAGAAAGACAGCTCCTGCACGGACACACAGACAGACACTTTACCTGACGTCTGTTCAGAATTCAGAATAATAATAATAATAATGTTAAATAGCATTAAATCATCTTATATTAAATGTTATATTAAATTACTTAATAATTAAAATTTAAATATTGAAATAAAATAATGAACAATTATTAAAACTATTAAAAATTAAGTAATATTAAATTACTTTATAATAAATGTAATTGTAAAATAATAATAAAATAAAAATAATAATATATTAAAAATTAATATAATATATTAAAAACGATTTTTCTTAAATTATTATGTATTAATGATTTAATAATTTATATTTTTACAATATATAAATATATATACATGCATACACACACACACACACACACATATATATTTATATTTTAATTACTTAATTAAATTAAAATATGAACATTTAAATAAATAAATAATTGAAGTTTGTATATATATTTTTTTAAATTATGTACAGAAATATTAATATTAAGAAATATTAAACACTATGAAATATTAAATTACTTAATCATTTAAATTAAAATATCAAAATCGCACCGATCCACTCCACCCCTGAGAGAAAGACAGCTCCTGCACGGACACACAGACAGACACTTTACCTGACGTCTGTTCAGAATTCAGAATAATAATAATAATAATAATAATGTTAAATAGCATTAAATCATCTTATATTAAATGTTATATTAAATTACTTAATAATTAAAATTAAAATATTGAAATAAAATAATGAACAATTATTAAAACTATTAAAAATTAAGTAATATTAAATTACTTTATAATAAATGTAATTGTAAAATAATAATAAAATAAAAATAATAATATATTAAAAATTAATATAATATATTAAAAACGATTTTTCTTAAATTATTATGTATTAATGATTTAATAATTTATATTTTTACAATATATAAATATATATACATGCATACACACACACACACACACACATATATATTTATATTTTAATTACTTAATTAAATTAAAATATGAACATTTAAATAAATAAATAATTGAAGTTTGTATATATATTTTTTTAAATTATGTACAGAAATATTAATATTAAGAAATATTAAACACTATGAAATATTAAATTACTTAATCATTTAAATTAAAATATCAAAATAAATAAATACAATAAAAAAACATTTAAAAGAATTAAAAGAGAAACTCATTAAGTCTCATTCTTCCTCTAGATCTAGTCCCTGTCAATATTCTATCCTAAATTCAGGTTAACAGTCAGGAGATCTCCCCCCTCTCCTGACATTTCTAAATCCTGTCTGAAGCCTCAGCTGTATCTGTTGTCTTCACCTGGTATTTGGTGAGTAGTTTGCTCTTCCACTGCGAGTGAACGTCATGTATTGACAGTCTCAGGTTGTGGTTGCTGTAACTGAAGTTCAGAGACTTTGGTTCATCCAGCAGTTTTCCGCCGATCTGTTTTTCTATCTGCAGCACCTCCTGTCCACACAAACACATGCAGTCAACAGTGCAATCACTTAAATTAAAATAAAAAATTATATTTAAATCTGTATATATTTAAAATATTACATTAATAATTATATTTATATAATAACAACAATAATACAAATAATAATTAAAATAAAAATCATACGAATTTATATTAAATTGTTAATTGAAATATTAAAGCAGATTAAAATAATGTAAACATATTAATATTTAAACTACATTTTCATTCAAATGTGATTTGTTGAGCAAAGTCATTAATAAAGTGCCCCTATTATGGATTTTTGAAAATGACCTTTCATGCAGTGTGTAACACAGCTCTAAGTGAATATAAACATCCTGCCAAGTTTTAAATCTGAAAGTGCACCGTGAATAAAGTGATTGTCTCTCAAAAGAAAGAGTCGACTCTGAATCATTGAAACGAGTCGTTTTTAAAACGAATCCCAAGCCGTTTCATGTTGACCTCAAAATGAAACATTAGCATATTGCCCGCCCACTTGGTCTTTTCGAGTTGGTCAGAATGAAAATGAAAATTCATTCTTTGCCACTAGGTGCCGCTTTTGGGGCCTCATTTATAAAATGTTGTGTATAAACCGTCCTAAATTTGTTCTAAGATCATTTCTCAAAAGTGCGTAAGTGCGATTCAGAGAAAACGAACATGCGCACAAAAACACGTGCGTACGCCTCTCTTCCAGATGTGACGTTTATAAATCACAAATGATCTTGAAATTGTGCGCAGCTGACTGCCGTCAGATCTCCGCCTTGTAAACGCCCCCTAATTAATATCATTACCATATAAAGAGCACACGCCAATATACCGAATTTATATGCTTGAGAATGACGAGCACAAAGAAAAAAAAACTTTACTGAGTCTGAAATTGAGGTCCTGCTGGTGGAGGTAGAGGTACATGCGGGACGCTTTTTATTTAATAATGTGTAATTATTCTGTGGACAAACAATGTGTGTGTGGTTATATTTTTTCTATTGACTATTATCAAAATTACTACTTCTAGAAACAACATAAATAATAATAATAATAATAGTAATTATTAAAAAAAATTGGTTTCCAAAAGTAAGAATAAACTACGAATTCAAGTAAAATGTTCTTATAAAAAGTGAGCCATCCTACTTTTAAAATCACTTGCTATGACAACGAATAAAAAGTTTAGTATCACGAAATTCTTGCAAAACTTAAAAAAACATTATTGAAAGAAAAATTGGACGTTTCATATCATAATAAAATAAATTATTACACGATTATGGTCTCCGGTCTGAAAAAAACCTGCATGTGATTTGGCATTTACACAGTTTACTAATGCTGCTCAAATGTGCCATAATGTACTGACTCAAAAATATATAGTGTATTTTATACAAATAACTCATGTAAATGACAAAAACAAAGTTTAAGGCTGATCGCTCTATTCATTTTCACAGAAGCAAAGCAGCAGATGTTATAAATAAAAACAGTTAACAATGTTATTGAATAGAATATATTAAAACCATTATTGCATGACATAGTTCTTATAGGCTACACAGACAAAACAGTCGGAGATGCGTTTATGCATTTTTGTTTTCTATTTTACACATTAGTAGTAAATCAAGACTTCGCAAGTTCTCTAAAATTATTAAAAACAACAACATGGAATAAACTGTGCACAGAAAGCGAGTAAAGAACTTTCAACATTAGGCTACTAAAAAGGTCCGTTTAATCTCGCAAAAACTCCTGTTAATAAAAAATCTGACCACATTGCACAATTAATCTCTTGCACTGCATCTTTGTTGTTTATGATGCATTCGGTGCTTTCACGAACACCGTTTTTATTATTGCAGCTTAGATGTTTAAATAGCTGCAGTACTCTGACTTTGCCACAAGGAAAAGTGCGTACGCCTGCTCAGACCCTGACGCGGTGTTAAGTACGCTTTTCCACGTCAATGACCGTTTTTGTAAATATGAACATTGCCGTGGATTTTAGCGTACGTACACTCTAAGATCAAATCTGTGCGTACACACATTTTATAAACGAGGCCCCTGGAGCGGTAAAAATAGCATTTTCCCCCGGTTACGCTGTACACAAAGCAGCACTGCGCTCACAAACACTGCTTTATCAGGCGTTACAGGTATGATAAAATGAGACCAATCGGACCAATCACCGCAGATTAGCGTCACGCAAAGGAGGAGTTTGGAAAAATGAATCATTGAGCGAATCGTTTGGGAGTCGTTGAGCAAGTAAGGTAAAAATAATTGCATATTATAAGACAATGAAAGTGTTTTTTGACCTTGCATGCATGTCAACCTGTTGTTGGGGACTCCCAAAACCAAAATATGAAACCAAAATAACTTAACTGAGTTATTCCTCAGTTAGATCTAGTCCCTGACATTAGCCAATCATAACAGTGCTCAATATAGAAGTTAATCAAATTAAGATACGATGGCATAAAACAGCCTGTGTCAGAGAAGGTGGAAAATGATTATGAAAATCTTAATTGACTATTTTTAAGTGGGCTTGAAAGCTACATTGGTCATCTGTTACTCACTTTGAGTGTGTCCTGCGTGTCGTCGAGGCAGTACACTCGGATGTGATAGTCTACACCTGCTGTGACTACAGGACCAAACACGGCCAGTTTGATTCGCTTAGCTGCTGACGGACAGACGCTCTGGCCAATCAGACAGTAGGAACCGAGCGTCTCGGTCAGGATGTGACACGCCTCCTCCCCCAGCTGCACGTAACAGGAAGTTGTGAAGTTCTCCTCTCCAACCACGACTACGTCCTGCACACAGAACACACACATCACTTACATGAGCGGCTCATCGTGACAGGTGCAGGGTTAAAGTGATCTCACACACATACATTATAAACCTGAATATATATTTGTACCCTGGTGGGACTTAAATTATGAATAATTTGCGCGATTAATATTATTATTTTTAAGCTAAGTCATGCTTTATTGCCCTTTTCCACTGAAATATTTCTAGGATTTAAAAGCCGCAGTGATGCATAAGTAAAAAATACAAAGAATAACACAGACAACTGACAAACAAATATCAAATAATAATAATAATTATTATTATTAATAATTAAATAACAGTACATTTTTAATTATAAATTATTATTATTAAATTAAAATGACATTTGCCACTAAATCTACTTTTTCAAAATCTCATTTTATATTATCAGTTTAATATAAAAAAGGTAATATTTTAATAATATTTAATTTTATATATTCCAATTTAATGACTAAAATAAGTGAATGAATGATTAATGAATAAAATAATAACATTATTTTATATAATTCTTATAAAAAACATTATATATATATATATTATAATTCTTGTATTTGTGACATTATTTTTGTGACAATTAAAGCACATTTTTACTCCCGAATTCACATTGCTATTATTATGAATGAAAAAATTACTGTACAAAATCCCTTGAATACAACAATTTTTTAAAATCTAAATAAATTAATTAATAGCAGTCTAACATATTGCAATGATGCAATTGTAAAATTGATATTGGATGTAAAAACAAATACAGTTCAAATTACATAAATATTGTTTGATTAATATTTTTTGGTTACAGTATTTATTTTGGGTGAGGGTTGTTCTTAATTATCATTAAAAAATAACATGAAAAAGCAAACACTTTTAAGAGTCCTTAAAATAGGTTTTATTGTCTAGGAAAAAGTAATTTCTTATTTCTTCTTTTGATTTTGGAGTGAAATATGACCCGGGTATGTTTTTGACAGGTTCTATGAGATATATATCCCCACAAGCAGGTTCTTCAGAACATTTGGTCTCTCCTGCACACACACACGCACACGCACACACGCACACACGCACACACACACACACACACACACACACACACAGACAGACACAATGCGAGTGTGTGTCTGAGGGAATCCCGGCCCTGATAAAGGAAGCAGATTCCTCCTGATAAATACGCCCCATCCTTTTCCCCTCTCCACTCTTGCAATAATTGAATTTTGTGTTGTCTATTTGTAGAACCCTGCCATGCACAGCAGGCCAATTTACCCTGCCTGCCTTCACTGATAGTTACATTTATTTTCCAGTCATGTTTCCCTCTCTCTGCAGGATAAGTAGTTTATTGAAATGGAGCGGCTCATCTCCAGAGTTTCCCTGACCTGATTCCTCTCGCTGCCACGCTTTCATTCAGCCACTGGCTGTCCCGATCGGCCGTATTCAAATTCCTCACCTCCCATTGGTCCTGCTGCGTGTGGCTCTTGAGAATGATTTGCCAGTCGTCGGAGTGGGCGTGTGCGCAGTGGTGGAGAGTGAGGATGACGGGACGGGTCAACAGGGCACCCGCGGGACCGCAGCTGACCACAGTGCTGAGCACAGCCTCCCTGTCACCGACCGCAGGCCTGAGAGAGACAGACACATTTAAAGGGACAGTTCCGTCAAAAATAACAATTCTGTCATTTACACACCCTCAAGTTGGTCCAAACCTGTATGAGTTTCTTTTTGCTGTTGAACACAAAAGAAGATACACAACACACATGAGAGTCAGTACATTACTATAATATTGAAGGTAAAACTAACTAATTATATGTGACCCTACCATGGAAGTCAATTTCATTTCTGGAGCACAAAACCAGTCATAAGTCGCACTGGCATATTTGTAGCAATAGCCAACAATACATTGTATTGTCAAAATTATCGATTTTTCTTTTATGCCAAAAATCATTAGGATATTAAGTAAAGATCATGTTCCATGAAGATATTTTGCTAATTTCCTACCATAAATATATCAAAACTTAATTTTTGATTAGTAATATGCATTGCTAAGGACTTCATTCAGACAACTTTAAAGGTGATTTTCTCAATATTTAGATATTTTCCACCCTCAGATTCCAGATTTTCCAGTATCTCGCCCAAATATTGTCCTATCCTAACAAACCATACATCAATGGAAAGCTTATTAATTCAATTTTACAAAACGGACCCTTTTGTGGTCCAGGGTCACACATACAAACGTTTAAATTACACTCAATTAAGTTTTTATAATAAAGTTACAATTACATAATTATATTTCTACTCCAATTCATTTTTTGACGGCTGTCATAAAAACGTAACGGATTTATTAATAAATTAACACAAATTAAACATTGAAAAACAGGAAAAATTATAATGAATATGTTATACTGTGCATGCATTTCGCAAAATGCTCCTCTTTAGAGTTCATTTTTCTATCTGACTAATGAGTTTATGGTCAACAAATATGTTTTTTCTGAGGTAAATGTGACATTTTTTAAAAAGCTGTTATAATGTCAGAATTGCGCGGTCACAGTTAAAACACTGAATGAGTGATTACATGAGACAGGATAAGGATTTCGATAAGTTACTCTTTCTTTTAACATACCTTCGGATGTTCATTCATGTTTATTTCATGCTGTAACTGGAGGAGACAAAAAGTTCACATCTGCTGCCGTGTCTCTTGTGGCACAGTGGCAAAACGGCATTTATTGTTTGAATACTGCAGTAAAATGGTGAGAATTTGAAATCTGAGGCTTAGTTTTATATCAAAATGATCAAATCACAAAGCTTATTGCGATTTATTGGATGGGAGGTGTGCTACAAAGTTCTGTTCATTGACTGAAAACAGGCTAGTCTCGGGATTTAAGAATCGTATCTTCGTAAAAATCAGAATCGATTAAAATTGAGAAACCAATATTTTTTTACCCAGCCCTAGTGTGTGTGTGTTTTTTTACCTCAAGCTCTCTGTCCTCTGTACGGTCACAAACATCTCATACACACGACCTTGAGGAATCGCACCGGCTGGAACCAACAAGCTAACACCTGAAACACACATTACAGAAAGACTGATTCAGAGAGAAACCGCACACCTCGTGCCGACTAGTTTCATGTGTTAACTTATTTGTCTGTCCTCACTGAAAACGAAAAATAGTGTGAAGCAACAAAATCGCAGCCAACCAGAACATACTTAATGTTCAATATGCAATAAGATAAGATTGGATTTTGGACCAATGAGAATGCACTGTGGGTGGAACCACTATGATCGAATGATAGACGATAGAATGACAGATAGAACAATAGATAGAAAAGGAGAATGATAGATAGAATGATGGACGGATGGACAGACAGAGAGATGGATGGACGGACGGATAGATAGATAGATGGATAGATGGATGGATGGTGTTTCATATAATGTAAGTGGAGTGTTGTGTGTCATTTCTGTAGTTCATAAAGTAGTATTATCATTAGCTACCATCCCCTGGATTCATTCATCACTGTCACTGAGCGTGTTCATCTCATCACACGCATGCGAGATTGTGAATGTGACATTTCCATCGCATCTTACTGGAACCCGTTACAGCCGTACGCCTTAATTAGACTAATGAAGGACTATCAACACAATCAATTAATCATCATAAATTATATCACATGGCGATTCATAAATATGTTGGACACTCAGCGAGGACCAGAGTGTGATTGTGCATCATAAATCATCCATAAATAAGCTGTGTGTGTTTGTGTGTCCGTTCTCACCTGAGTTGGGTATGATCAGATGACCTCCCAGCGAGTTAAACGACCCTAACGCCGTACACGTGGGGTCCCGTGCGCGCGCCAGCGTCTGGTTGCGCAGGGTCATGGAGTCGCTCTCCAGAAGAGAGTGGGTGACTTTGGGGGACAGGGTGGCGGAGAGGTCAGAGGTCATGTCCTCCTGAGGGGTCACCGTGCCGGAGGAGTTGTAGACTTTGATCTTGAGGTTGGGAAGCGGCAGCGGCTCCAGCAGAGGGGAGCTGGTCATGGGGATTTTGTCTGAGATGTCGTGAAGGGCATATACAGGACCGCGATACAGTGCCGCTGCTGTGGACAGATCAGGGGTTGCGGCCAGCAAATCTGCTGCAAACACGCACATGAAATTACTATTAAATATTACTAATGACATTTGAAGACAGATCTGTCAGCTTATTAAATACACCACGCTTCCAAAGTTTGGGTTGGCAAGATTATTTCATGTTTCTGAAAGCAGTCTCTTCTGCTCATCAAGGCTGCATTCATTTTTTTTTAAATACAATAAAAAATCTCATTATTACAATCTCAAATAACTATTTTCTATTTGAATATATTTTACAATGTAATTTATTCCTGTGATCAAAGCTGAATTTTCAGCATCATTACTCCAGTCTTCAGTGTCACATGATCCTTCAGAAATCATTCTAATATGCTGATTTGCTGCTTAAAGGGGTCATATGATGCTGCTAAAAAGAACATTATTTTGTGTATTTGGTGTAATGAAATGTGTTTATGCAGTTTAAGGTTAAAAAAGACATTATTTTACACATACTGTACATTATTGTTTCTGCTCTATGCCCCGCCTTTCTGAAACGCGTAGATTTTTACAAAGCTCATCGGTCTGAAAAGCGAGGTGTGCTCTGATTGGCCAGCTATAAAGTGCGTTGTGATTGGCCGAATTCCTTAAGCATTCGCTTTCACAACGAAACACACAGCGCCTTCACGACATGCTGGCGGCGGCAACAATACTACAGCGAGAATAAAAGTTACGCCTTCTTTCTTTGCGTGAACATTTGGGCGGCGTTATGCAAATCTTCCCACATCGTGACATAGACATGTGGGGGCGTGTTAGAACGAGCCGTTTTAGGTAGGCGTGGCTGACTCTTAACTTTTATAAAGAATATCTCTTTGGATTTGAGACTTTAGTCTTTGCAACTTTACAGATCTTCTTTATGCACCAAGAGCTTGTAACACTCCAAAGAGAAAGGAAAAATTGAAATCGCATCATATGACCCCTTTAAGAAACATTTATTTATTATTATCATTGTTGAAAACAGCTGAGCTGCAGTATATGAAAAGTATATGAAATATTTTTTGTAGCATAATAATTGTGGTTAGTCACTTTCAACCTATTTAATGTCCTTGCTGAATAAAGTATTTTTTTATTTTATTTATTTTAATCATACTGACCCCAAACATTTGAACAGTAGTGCATGTGCAAAACCACAATGATTTTAAAATCTCACATAAACAAGGTATTTACAAAATTCGAAATGATCTGCACCTGTTGAGTACAATAAAGGTTAAAACAAATCAGCATAAAAGCACAATAAAGTATTGAATTCCATACAACTCTGTGTGTGCTATATTAAAAGTCACATGCTAACTTTCTGTGAGGAAGAAAAACACATTTTAAGACATTATTTATGGAAATTTATTTTGCAAATACTCTCAAATATCATTCTTCATATTTAAATCGGTGTACCATATTCAGTTATTTTCTATTGAAGCTTGTTTTTGAGTTTTTTTGTTTTCTTCTTAATTCTTCTGCATATTGCAAATCCATTTCATCTTGCAATTGATTTTTGCAATTGTTGTTAAAATACAAAAAATATTAAATGAAATAAAAAATAGTGACTTTTTATCACAAGTCTTACTATTTCTCAATTTTGAGTTTATATCTCGCAATTCTTACGTCACATCTAGCAATTCTGGCTTTATATTTTGTAATTCTCAGTATGTATCTTGCAATTTTGCCTTTTTTTCCCTCACGATTATGAATTCTGAAGTCAGAATTGTGAGAAAATAACACAGCACCGTGAGATGTAAACTCAGAATTGTGGGAAAAAAGTCCTGTGGTGTAAATAAGCTTCCATAATTTTCATATGAAATAACCAATTTCATCAGAGCTTTCTAAACCACAAATAATGTATTACATAAAAAAAGCCACAGTGGCTACAAAATCCATTTTTTTACTTCTATTTTGCATCCAATTTCCAGAGAAGAAACTATTTTTTAACACAAGATATCGAAACGAGTTGTTTTTGTGATTTCCCACATCATTTAGCATAATTTAGATGTAAACACAGCCACTATTCACTTTCAAAGCATGTAACCGAGCAGCTTGACGACTCTGTGAAACATCTCCTTTTTGTGCTCCAGAACAGCATGAAGGTGGGTAAATGACTTTTTGGGTGACCTACTCCTTGTATGTATTTCTGTTGTGTGCTATTTTGAAATGAAATCACCGTGTGTTTGTGTGGGAGCTTGTAAAGGACTCTTATAGCCAGCGGCTGGTAATCTCCATACTGATTGCTCATTAACATTCAGCTTCCCACAGTGACTAAACAGAGGATTGTCACTTCACACACCAGCTCTCTCTCTCTCTCCGGTTACTCAGGTGTGAGCATTATTCACCACGAGCTCCGTTCACACTCCTGACTCACACGTTAAAGTCATTCATCACGCGGCGATCGGTGAGACAGTGTACACTGCACTGCACTGCATCACACCCATCGAAGTAAACACATCCAAACCTGGGAGAGATCTTCACCAGAGCAAAACTGACGGATGTGAACGTCTTTGCTTTACCATCAAAACATCCCCTACCTCTGTATTTATCAACTCACTCGCCGACGTCCTCCACACGGTGCTTTCACCCTGACAGGGTGCCATTTACACCTACAGCCCGCTTCATGTTTAATTAACAGAGAAAACGAGGGAGAAAATGAGGGGGAAAGCGAGGCAATACGAGAGCGAGCAGAATGACGATTCTTCATTAATGATAACCTGTTCAGGTTGGAGAGTGACAGGCATTCTAATGTTCCTCATATGAAATGTCACCTGAGTCTCTCTCTTTCACACACACACACACACACACACACCTCACAATTTAACACCGGAACACTGCCTTCCATTCTGTTCTCCACTTGATTGGAATTTTAATCATTCTTGTGTCTTACGGTGACACACACACACACACACACACACAGTTCGTTGCTGAAACTGTTGCATTGACTGAGAGCCGCAGAAAGAGATTGTGTCTGAATAGCGCGTTTGAATGTTTTACTAAAGCAATAATCCACTCAAGGATGTGCATTATAGTGATTTGCATGATTACAATGCCTTAAATCCCTTTCAATCTGGTAAAAACTGCAATATGACAAAAGACACTGATGTTCAAAATTTGTTAGATTTGTTATTACAGGATCAGTTCACTTAAAAAAATGAATATTCTATCATCACTTTGTCACCATCATGTCGTTTCTAAACCTGTAAGACTTTCTTTTCCTCTACAGAACACAAAAAAAAGATATTTGTAATAACACTGGGGTCAACATAAAAACGAAATCCATTGCAACGTCATTGTATTTTATCGCATTCCATTTTGGAGAAGAAAGAAAATCTGCTGATACAGTAACTGTAAAATACTGCTGATAATTTCAAATACTAATTTACCAAAATTGTGATATATACAGTATATATATACAGTGGGTACGGAAAGTATTCAGACCCCCTTAAAATTTTCACTCTATATATATATATGTGTGTGTGTGTGTGTGTATGTATGTATGTATAGATACACACAAAATATTATTTCTTTTTTATCAATAGTAAAAATTAATATTAATATAAAAATAAATAAATAAAGATGTCTCTTATGTTCACCAAGGCTGCTTTTATTTGATAAAAAAAAGTGAAAACAGCAATATTGTGAAATATTATTACAGTTTGACATAAATATTTTGCAATATATTTGAAATGTAATTTATTCCTGTGATGCAAAGCTGGATTTTCAGTGTCACATGATCCTTCAGAAATCATTCTAATATGCTGATTTGCTGAAACATTTCTGGTTATTATCAATGTTGAAAACAGTTGTGCTGCTTAAAATCTTTTTGGAAATTGTGATGCAATTTTTCTGGATTCTTTGATGAATATAAAGTTTATTTGAAAACTTTTAATGTCGTTGCTGTCACTTTAAATCAATTTTATGCATCCTTTCTGAATAAAAGAAAAAAAAAACCTCACCAATCAGAAATTGATAGTGATCCATTAATGAAGGTTAAGTCTCACCTGAGCGTGCTTGTTTGATGCTGACAGGCTGGAATCCTCCGTTCAGCACAGATGAGTCCATGATGTCGGAGTGAAAGCGTCTATGAGTTCTGCGGTACACAAGCAGCGCCACGATAGCAGAGACGATCAGACACATGACCACCGCCATGACGATACCCACGTACAGCGCCACCTCGTCTCCCCCCGGTGCAGCTGCACGACAGACAAACACAGGTCACGGTCAGAATGAACACTAGCTTTTACATACTGCATACTGTGTATAGTATATACTCAGAATGAACACTAGCTTTACATACTGCATACTGTGTATAGTATATACTCAGAATGAACACTAGCTTTTACATACTGCATACTGTGTATAGTATATACTGTATACTGCCTACTATATAAATAGTAAGCAAAACACTAGTATGTTACATTACTGTCACATGATCTCATCATGGTGCAAGGAGCGTCCATTCAACATTTTAGAAATTGTTTTTATTTTTTTATTTTGAATAAGGTTATGTGTCTAAAACTTTAGGCAGTCCAGTCAAATAATAGGTATAATAAGAGTTGTTAACATGTGAGTCATCACACAGGAAATGGAAGTTGAGAGCATTGCATTGTGGGATAAAAAAAAACATGAAAATGAGAAATGTTGCCTCAGCAATTAACTAAAATAAAATTATTAAGTATTAAAATTATTAAGCCCAAAACTGAAATAAGAAATAAAGCTATAACGTAGCTTTTATAAGCTTTATAAAATAAAAAATTAAAATAACAACAAAAAACACAACTAAATAAATAAATAAATAAACAACAATTACATGTGTACTGAAAAGTATGCATTAAAATATAAATATGAAATAGATAAAAATCTAAAAACTTACTATTATTACAACATAAACTAAAGTTACATTGAAAACCAAAATACAATAGTATATAAATAAAATGTATAAATAAATAAATTAATGAATTAATTACAATTTCTTGCATAATGAAAATTAGCATATGGTGCACAGTATACATACTGTATAGTGCAGACATACTAAATATTAGTATGTTAGTATGCTACACCAAACAGCTATACAAGTACACTTATTTGCCAAGACATTTCTCATTTTCATTCAGTTTAACTAAAACTAATAAATAAAAATTAATAAAAAAATCTACATTCAAATTTTTAATAATAAATCTACATACAAATTTTTTAAAATAAATATGACAAAAACATACAACAAAATGACTAAAATAAATAATCTCTAAAAAAATGTAATCTATTTTAAAATATTAAGAAAAACTATAATAGCATATCAATGCTACTAAAATAACACTATTTCAGCTACTATTTTTAACACATATACTGCACATAACACATATTTAACAGCATATACTGCAGTATTTCATTTCAAATGACAAATCATTATAGCAATATGGGTTAAAGGTCACGTCTGAGAATGGCCTTTAAAACTATGGCATTAATCAGTATATAAACCCCCTGCATCAATCATTAGAAGGAGTTTTCACAGTAAGAGAGAGAAAATTAAACCTCCAACTGCAGGAAGATGAAAAAACAGCCTGAAAATAGACAGTCAGACTGCGAGAGAAGAGAATCCAGTCCTTTAATTTAATGAGGCTATAAATTATTACATGCCATATTGCTCATCTTCATGGAAATCAGCCTCATTCTTCAGCAGATTGCAGGAGAACAATTGTGACATGTTCATCCGACCTCTTTTCCTGTGGATTCTCTCTCTACGTGTGTGTGTGTGTTTCTGAATTTGTGTATGTGGAGATTAAAAGGGGATCAGGGCCGAAATGAAGCTGCGGCTCTGAAACATCAAAGAGAGAAGCAGCAAAAATCGTCATAGTCTCTGATGTTTAAAGTGTGTGTGTGTGTGTGTTTAAATCCCCTCTTCCGTATCTATTGGCAGTGTAAAACACACGCTGGCGCTCATCACTCATTAGTCGCAGTGAGACTGCAACAAAGGTACACAGATTAAAACTCCACTCATGCTTCACACATCTGACTTATCAGGCTGACATTAACGGCAGCAAGACTAGACTCAGGGTTATGAATATTCATTACAATACTTCACAGACTTAAGCCTATTGGTTAGACCACACTGATTCACCTTACCAGCAGAGGGCACCAAAATGAAGGGAAAAAAGTAAAGTCAATTTTTATATTTATATATATATACACACTGAACAAAATTATAAAAGCAACACTTTTGTTTTTGCCCCCATTTGTCATGAGCTGAACTCAAAGATCTAAGACTTTTTCTATGTACACAAAAGGCCTATTTCTCTCAAATATTGTTCACAAATCTGTCTAAGTCTATGTTAGTGAGCACTTCTCCTTTGCCGAGATAAGTCTCAGATCTTTGAGTTCAGCTCATGACAAATGGGGGCAAAAACAAAAGTGTTGCGTTTATAATTTTGTTCAGTGTATATATATAAGTTTAAATTGTATATAATTAATACATCTATCTATAAATAAGCATACTTTCCAGAAGGCCAACAATTCACTAAAAAAATGTTTTTATTGGTCTTATGAAGTATTCTAATTTGTTGAGATAGTGAATTGGTGGATTTTTGTTAAATGTGAGCCAAAATCATCCCAATTAAAAGAACCAAAGACTTAAACTACTTCAGTCTGTGTGCATTGAATTTATTTAATACACGAGTTTCACAATTTGAGTTGAATTACTGAAATAAATGAACTTTTCCACGACATTCTAATTTACCTGTAGATAGATAGAATTAAAATAGTAAGTTTACATTTTTGTCTACACACACACAGTCTACATTTTTGTGACAATATAATAATGCAACCAAAATTCGCTATAGCTTATTAGTTTATTACATAATATTATATATATGTATATGTATGGTAATGTATAATATAGATTTTTGAAATAATATATTCGCATTTAGTTTTTGTTTGCTGACACTAAATATATTACAAAATTGTATAATATAGAGAATAAATAATTTTTTGAAGAAATTTGCTGTGCAAAATGTCAAAATGATTGTGTCTGACTGTTGTGGATGGTAGCCTGAACTGCATTATCTGAGAAATATATTCTTGTCTGTAACACATACAGGTTTATTCTAATTGTATGAACAATAATAACAGTGATGTTTGACGTAGTAAATGTAAAATAATTAGTCTACCCAGCAATGCACAAACTTTGACAGTGAAAAACTTATTATTCTTATATCACTTGCTCACCAATGGATGCTCTGCAGTGAATGGGTGCCGTCAGAATGAGAGTCCAAACAGCTGATAAAAACATCACAATAATCCACAAGTAATCCACACCACTCCAGTCCATCAATTAACATCTTGTGAAGCCAAAAGCTGTGTGTTTGTAAGAAACAAATCCATCATTAAGGCATTTTTAACTTTAAATCTTCACTTCTGGCCAAAGATATTAACTGATGGACTGGAGTGATGTGGATTACTTGTGGATTATTGCGATGTTTGCTGTTTGGCACCCATTCACTGCAGAGGATCCACCGCTGAGCAAGTGATGTAAGGCTACATTTCTCCAAATCTGTTCCCATAAAGAAACAAACTCATCCTAATCTTGGACGGCCTAAGGATGAGTACATTATAAGCAAATTTAAATTTTTGGTGAACTGTTCCTTTAACACATTAACTAAAGTTAACTACTAGGACCTTCTTGTAAAGTGTTTCATCATGCCTTTGTGCATGTTTAAGTGTTTAGACTGGCTGTTTCTATGCAGGAGCACGCTTGACTTATAAACGCTATTGATTGTATGAAGGAAGTGATTAAAGTGGAAGGACAGTGTGCAGATGCTGAGGGGGGTTAATGAGGGGAAGGGAGTTTGATCGTCTGGCAACCCGTCCGACCCATGAGTCTGAGGGCGGAAGAGCCTTCTGCTGATCAGATTCCCTCGGCATCGATCCGTAGGGGTTTTACTCAGACTGATAACACACACACACACACACACACACACACAGAGAAAGTTAAGTCTCATGTTCTCAGCAGAGTGCAGTATCTTTCAGTTGTATCCTTACAAAATGAAATACAATATATATACTTTTATGTTAATATAAAACAGAACATTATTACTCTGGAAATGACCATATATCCATATACTGATATCATTTTTAATATATACAGTATATTACTGTTCAAAAGTTTGGGGTCAGTAAGATGTTTTTAAAGATATTCATATTTTATTGCAACTGTTTTCAACATTGATAAACAGAAATGTTTCTTGAGCAGCAAATCAGCATATTAGAATGATTTCTGGAGGATCATGTGACACTGACGACTGGAGTAATGATGCTGAAAATTCAGCTGCGCATCACAGGAATACATTATATTTTAAAATGTTAAAATTTACAATAGAAAACATATATTTCAAATGGTAATTTCACAGTATTAGTTTTTACTGCATCTTTGATCAAGTAAATGCAGTAGAAGAGACATAAAAAAAACTTCTTACAGACCCCAAACTTTTAATATTAAAAACGTATTGCTTATTTTATACTTATTTATATTTTATATTTCTGTCAAAAGGACCGACTAACTTACTTTTTTTTTTTATTAATCAGTGATGGATATAAATGCAAAAACTGTTTAGTATTATTATTATTATTGTTAAAGTATTAAATTAATGATGCTATTCGTTTGAAGTACACTCTTTTTTTCTGATGAACTGGGTTAATATCATTATATTAATTATTTACATGTTTTCATTTAGTAGACGCTTTTATTCAAAGTGACTTACAAATGAGAATTATATAAGCAGAAGCAACTAATTCAAGGGAAAAAAACAATACTAGTGCTACAGAACCTCATTTTCATAAATGCCAGAGTAAAACAACTGAATAATTAGAGTTAACTAAAAAATAAACCATAAGAAAAATGTGTTACTTGAAATGAAATACATGTTTACTGAAAATATTAGAAACAGAAACTTGTTTTATTTCAACTAAATAAACTTATTTCAGTTTAACTTAAAAACTATAAAAATACACAACAAAATTACATTTTAATCAATTAATTATATAGACTAATTAGAAGCTAGTCAAGTTCTCCAAGAAGAAATGTGTTAAAGAAATTAATTATAATCAACATTTTTTCATCTTTTATGTCATGGAGTCACAATGCATTTTGGGATTGCTTGCTCCAGCAAAGACACATGCAATACTACCTTGCAATTTGACC